TGGAGCCCAGGCCTGGTGCAGCAGGGCACTCCCGGTGCTGCCCGGGGCCAGGGAGGCTCTGGCCCACACTCAGCGGCTGCGTGTGCCAGCACCTGGGCGGCACCCATGGGTCCTCAGGATCGGCTGAGTCCGTGCATCAGGGCTAGGTCGTACCTGTGGGGCTACTCACAGCTACTGTGCACAGGGTGTCCGCATCCTGTGGGGGAGGAGCCAGCAGTCCCCTCTGCAGCCCCACCTGGCTCTGCCATCACCTGGGTGGCAAGAGAGGAAGCAGACAGAGGCTGCAGCCCTGTCCAAGGACAGGAGCCCAGATGAGCCTGGCTAGAGTTGCCTGCTGTTTCTCAAAGGAACAGTAGAGGGCACCCGTGAGCCGTGACACCCAGGCAGGCCTGCCCTTGTCCTCTGCTATCCCTGTGGTGGCCGCTGGGCGGCCTGGGGCATGCTGAGACTTGGTGTGGCAATGGTACCCTGTCCCCAGGGGCCTGTGGCTTCCTGGACAGGGCCCAGGGTCTGGGGCATGAGCTCACCTGGCCCAGGAGGAGAAGTGGGGGTCACATAGAGGGGTGAGGGCCCCCTAGGCCTGTGCCCGGCTGCCTGCTTCTACCTTGGGCACAGTGGGGTGGACACAGTGGTGTGGACACAGTGGTGTGCACACAGGCCTGGCTTGGGCTGGCTGCAGGAGGCTTGGGAAAGGGTGGCGGCTTGCTGGGAGTCAGTACCGCACCCCAACTCTACTCCCAGGTCCAGCTCTGCTGCCCTGGCCAGCTGGACCCCCTGTGGGCCATTTTACAGTCAGGGAAACTGAGGCTCGGAGACCACCTCCACCTGTTCCTGCAGTCCCCTGGCTGAGGGGTCTCCGCCCTGGCTCTCAGAATCACCGCAGCCCAGGGCCCTCGGAGACCTCCAGCTCAGCCCTCTGGGGTACGGGCCGCATTCCCTGGCAATTCAGCTAGCAGCTGAGTCGGGGCTGGGCCCTGTCAGGAGCAGAGGCCACAGCCCTGCGCTGCAGCCCTGCGAGGGGCCACCGGCCTGCTTCCGGGCCTCCTTGTGCCCGGCTCTGCCCCTGAGCCAAGGACCGCAGCACGGGGCTCAGGCTGGGGCCCGGCCCTCCACACGCTCCCTTCCTTCCCCAAGGCCTCCTGTGTGGGGTCCCCAGCCAGGGTCTCCCCTGGGCCTAGGTCCCCACCTTGAGCCCCTACTCCTAGGGCTGGAATCCCAGCCAAGCCCTGCCCCTCAGGAAATCAGCTTTTAATAGCCCAAGGCAGGCACATAATTAACAAATAACAGTTCTGGCCTCTGCACAAACAAGCTCCTTGTCTGGGGCAGGGCTGGCGCTTGGTTTTTAATCCCCAAAGTTGGCTTGATCCCTCCAGCGTCTCCCTTCCATCCTCCCTCACCCCTCCGTGGTGCTCCCTCTGACTCCTCCCTGCCTCCTGCATTCCTGGCTCAGGGGCTCTGGAGGGACCATTGCTTCCTCCACACGGAGCCTGTGGCTTTGTCCTCCGGCCCCAGCCCCTGTGGGACCACGTTTGTGGCCAGGAGGAAGGGGGCTCTCTGTTAGGATTTCTGACGCTTGTGGAGGGCAGGCTTGAGGGACGCCTCCTCTGCGAGGAGCTTCCTGGAAGCGCTTTAGGGAGGAGGAGCAGTGTGCATGCTGTCACTCCCACAGGGTCACAAGCAGCCCCACACGCCCACGCACAGCAGCCAGGCCTGGGGCTGGTGTCAGGACCGTGACCTCGCTCAGGCTGCCGAGGTTCTGTGTCCAGGCAGGACCAGGACACCCAGGACCACTTCCCACATTGCCCTGGGTGCCTGCCCACCGCCTGCTCTGAGAAAGTTCTGTTGGGAGGAAGGGACCGGTCGCCTCCTCTGCTGTGTGGCTGAGGACCAGCTACGGAGACAGAGGGAGCCGTGCCATGGCCCCAGGGTCAGCAGCGGTTGCTGGGCTCCAAGACGGGACCGTGGTGGCGGCACTGGCTTGGGTTGGACACAGACCTGGCTCTGTCCTTGCCAGCTGTTTATCTGTGGGGGATTCACTGCCCTTTCCAGTCCCTGCTTTGCCAACGTAACCACTCTGCTGTAAAGGAAATAGGAAAACACTTTATTCTGAGCCACTAGTAGCACTGGGGCCCGGGAACACAGATGCAGCTCACCTACGGTGACGGTCGCACCGCAGTCGTGAGTCAGTGCATCTCGCGGGGACACTGGCTCGGCTCTTGCATGCCCCGTGTGACAGAGGCACCCAGGGCCTGGGGCAGAGCCCACCTCTCTGGACAGGGCCAAGGTTCTGCCATACTTCGAAGGCCTAGAGAGCAGCTGTGGCCTGCTGGGAACATCTGGCTGGTGGCCTGCCCCCGAAGCCCCTGCCCCAGCATGGCTGCCGCCTGCTGCCAAGTGCACAGCCTGGTGCCCAGGCTGCACCCAGACCCAGAGCTGGGTTTCCGGGCAGCTGAAGGCCCGCGCCTTCCTGGATTTCAGCAGGACAGACCTGATGACTGCCCGTGTGTGACTGGCTCTCCAAGGAAGCCCCACTGACAGTGCCTGCTGTTCTCCGGGCTGTGCTGAGCTGCCCCTGCTCCGGCCTTGCTGCCATTTCCAGCTCTTTGGGCTTGGGAACCCAGGAGGGAGGGGCCCAGCGGGGGCTCTGGCTCGGGGTCTCTCATGGGCACATTCGAGGGGGCTGCAGGGCCATGGCTCCCCCGTGTGCCTCCCCAGCTGTGTGTCCTCATTGTGTGGCAGCTGCCCACACCCCCGTTCGACAAGGAGGAAGACTCGGCTCCAAGTTAGAGTCCCCTCCAGGGCTTCATCTTTATTATCTTTTTTTTCAGTATTGGGGAGTGAACCCAGGCCCTTCACACTGAGCTACATCCCAGCCCTTTTTATTTTTATCTTGAGACAGGGTCTCACTAAATCATGCATGTGCCCAAGCTGGGCCTAAAGTTGAACTCCCTCTGCCTCAGCCTCCCGGGGTGCTGGGATGACATGTGTGCCCCAGGTGGTGTGGCCAACAGTGGGACCATGGCCCTGACCCTGCAGGGATCACCGGGAGCACAGTCCCAGGGTGGCTGCGGCAGGCCGAGAGCAGCAGGTCACAGACCCCATGTCACTCAGTTCTGCCAGGCCAGGCCCTGGCCCAGAGCTCGCACACTCCTGGCCTGGAGCTCCCTGGGACACAGTGGAGGACACAGGGTCGGGCTGTGGCACCTGACTCTCCAGTGCCTGCCTGGAGCGTTTTGTTTGTCTCTGGCCAAAGATAAAGCCCGGCTGTTCGCCCTGTCCCAGGCACAAGGGAGGGCAGAGTGGGATGAGGCAGCCCTGATGCTCCTGGCCAAGAGAGACTGAAACAAGAGCCGAGTGCTGCGGGCCACGGTCAGGGCTGGAAGGCATAGAGACAGGACGTCTGCAGACAGGCCAGGGAAGGAATGAGCAGGTCCACCAAGGCGTCTTCTCCAAGGTGCAGCCTGTCGTGCTGGGGTTTTGGGGGGGGGTTTTGGTACTGGGGATCCAACTCGGGACCTTGCGCTTACAGGGCAGGCGCCAGAACCACTGAGCTAAATCCCCGGCCCCATGCTGGGTTTTGAAGGATAGGTAGGAGCTGGTTATCTGGATAAGGGAAGAAAGCACATTCCAGACTGGGCGCAACAGATGCCAAGGTGTGAGGAAGTCTGGGAGCCCAGTGGGTTTGGAGAACTGGGAGCAGGTGGGCAGGTGGTGGGAGTGGAAGCAAGACCGTGAAGGCTGAAAGCGGGCCTGAGGGGCTGGCCAGCCCAGGATCAGCATGTCCCAGAATGCCCTCCATGACTCGGGGCTCTGAGGGATGCGAACAGGTGTCCTCCAGAAAGGGACTCCAGAGCTGGCTGAGTTTGGGAAGCACAGGGTGAAGCCCAGTTACAAATCCTTCCTTACTGTGGGACTTGTCAGAGCGCTTCTCTGACACGTCATGAGTCCCCAGAAGGGGACAGAGGGCTGGGATTCAGTCAGCAAGCTGGCTTGACTGCATCACCCCTTTCTGAGGAGTCCAGCATTCCAGGGACTCAAAGTTCTAGACTTAGAGAAATGCTGCCAGCAGGCGTCTGAGCTGGTGAGTGCTCCAGGTGGGGTGTGGCTGTGCTTGAGGGTAGACAGGGCTGAGCAGGGGCAAGAGCTGAGGGAAGAGGGCAGGAGCCGCTGCCCAGGAGGGTCTGCAGGACTAGACGGGGACCCACGCCATGGCTGCTGGGGTGGCGCCCAGGCCACGGGAGGAGCAGGAGGCACTGGCAGCGCACGGAGTTCATGGCATCCAGGCACGGCCAGATGGCCAGGGTGGTTTGTGGGCAAGCCGGGCTCCAGAACTCGGCTGCACAGAGGAAGCAGACGGACGTGTTCCTAGAAAAGCACAAATTGACGCAAGACAGCCAGAATCCTGAGCCCGTCTACTAAAGAACCCGGCTGGGCACATGACTGTCACCCAGCACTCAGAGAGGCCGAGGCAGGAGAACCCAAAGTCCAAGCCCAGCCTGGGCAAGTCCGTGACTTAGCAAGACCCTGCCTCAAAATGGGAAATGTAAGGGCGGGGGATGCGGCTCAGCATGAAAGCCCCCGGTTCAGCTCAGTACTGAAAAACAGAAAGCCTGCTCCCAGAGACTCACCTGAGTCCAGGCTGGGCAGTTGCCTTGGTAAATCTGCAGGCAGTGAAGGGGAGAAGGCAGAGCCATTAGCAATCGGCCTATGGGGTCTGTGACCTCCGCGGGGCTGGGCGGGGCTGGCGCTGAATCCCTGCCACGTGCTGCCCTCTTCTACCTTCCCCGCCACGTGTGCATCCCACTCCATGAGCAGGAGACAGCACGCGGCTGCCCTCAGAGTGTTCAGGCTACGAGGGCATCATCGGACTTCCTGGGCCTTGGTTTCCCCATCTGTGAGGTGGGCACGGGGCTGCCCCTGGGCTGAGCAGGCAGGTGGGCAGCAGGACCCAGCACTGACACCTGTCTCTGTCCTGTGTGTGCCGTGTGCCTCCCGCCCAGGCTTTAAGATGTGCGTCAGCACCAGCGGCAGCCATGATGAGGGCCCCGTGCTGAGCGGCAAGTACCTGGATGTGCCCAACATCATCATCACGCCCCCGACACCCACGGGCATGATGCTGCCCAGGGACTCCAGGCGCACAGGTGAGCCCCATGCCGCGCCGAGCCTGGGTCCCCACCTGCCAGCTCCTTAGAGACTGGAGCTGGGCCCCTGCACCGAGCCCCTCGCCGTGCCACCACCCGGCCAGATTAAGGTGTGTGAGGGGCTAGTAGCAGCCCCCACCAGGAAGGTGACGGGAGGCTCCAGCCTGTGGGTCGTGCCCGGGGGTGGGCAGCATGGGCACGGGAGCGGCCCACACTGGCTCCGATGCCCTGGGTGCAGAGACCCCAGACAGGCACCCTGCCTGCTGCTCCCCAGGGCCCTCGGAGTTGGGGCGGTGCTCGCCAGTCCAGAGCAGACTTAGGAGACCATCTGAGGCAGCCGGAGATGTGACGGTGATGGGAGGCAGCCGCACGAGGGTGGGCCTCCCAGGGACTCCGAGTTAGGACAGATTTTTGTCCTGTTTTACAGACGGGTACACTGAGGTTCCCAGAGGCTGAGACACTTCCTGTGTTGGGCTGCAGACCACCTGTGACCTGGGCTTGTCCCGGGGCCCCCGAGGCTGGACACCCTCCCCCTGGGTGGCACAACTCAGCTGTAGCTGTGGCAACATAGGTCAGGCACGGGCCACAGAGCACAGACTGCAGTGGGTCCCTCTGATGTCCATCACTGTCTCGGAATAACCAAGTAGGAGGCCTGTAGAGAACATTTTTTCTTGGTGCTGGGGCTTGCACCCAGGGCCTTCATCCTGAGCTCATCCCCAGCCCTTTGTATCTTTACATCTGGAGATGCACGTGGTGTGGGTACAGAATGGGGGAGGCATGTGGTTACCCCACAAGGTCTGTGGGTGACCTTCCTGGCCCTTTGAGCTCAGGGGTGGCCGAGTCCAAAGAGCCACACACAGGCATCCTCCTGGGGAGCGATCGCAGAAGGATAGGCCTTGCACCCAGAGCAGCCTGAACCTGAACTCCACCTGCCCCAAGCCAGGCCCAGCTTTGGCCTTTCTTGGCATTTCTTCATTGCATTCGGTGGTCCCAGGCAGTGACCCCTTGACCCTGAGCGGCCCCTCCATAAAACCCAGAGTACCAGTCTCCCCCTGGTCTCCCCAGGCCCAGGACTCAGCCAGGATGCTGGAGGGAGAGGCAGGAATAGGCGAAGGGAAACCCTAAGCCAGCACCACTGGAGCCTTGCAGCCTCTGGGGACACACTGCCTGGTGTTGGGGACCCTGGGCCTGGCCACAGCATGTGGGAGAAGGGGCCCCTCCCAATGCGACCCCTCTTGCTCCTAGACTGGCTGGACAAGGCGGGGTCTTGCCTAGATGACGCAGAGCTGGACCCCGAGGCATGAGGAATCCTTCTGCATGGACCTGCACCGTGCTCAAATCCTGGCCTTGGCTGCTGGGGCAGATGTGCTGAACAGCTGGATGGGGACTTGGACCCAGGGGTGGCAGAGTTAGCTCGAGCCCCAGGCCCCAGAGCACTGCGGAGAGGACAGACGCCGGCCATTCTGGCTGTTGCTGGTCCCCGTGAGGTGGGGCGGAGGAGCCTGCCGCGGCCTTGACGATCCTGCGGGTGCAAGCGGACAGCAGCTTCCAGAGGAACTCAAGCTCCCAGACCTGGCCCCCTCAGGTCACCGCAGCAAGAACTTCTGGAGAGAGGAGTGACTCTGTTTTTTACGAGTTGTTTAACAGGCTCTGAGGCAGTCCCGGGTGATTTATAAGTTCTTTTTTGCATTATAAACAGAGTCCATGATGAATGGGGACTCGGACTTCACCCAGGGGGAGAGCAGAGAACCGCCCACTACGGGTCTGGCTTTGGGGGCTCAGGCCACGAGGGCCTCCCTCAAGTCCCAGCCAGGACCCCGCCAGCTGTGGGGCTGGTGACAGTTGTCTCCAGGACGGGGCAATGCATTGTTTAAGGGAACACGGAGGCCTTGGCATCCTCGTGTCCCCAGAGACCACGCTGACCTGGGCTTGTGCCACTGTGTTCACTGCTTGGTTTTCCCACTGTCCCCGGAGGCAGAGCCTGAGCCAAGGACTGGGTGCAGGGGGTGGTTTGGGAGCACCAGGGGCACCAGCAGGGATGGGCTGCTCGGTCACTGCAAGCTACACAGACCACAGTTGGCAAAGGGCAGGGCCAGGACGGACTGGGCCAGGCCTCCTTGTCCCTCCCTGTGGAGCCGTGGACAGCACCTGGCCCTCCTGCCTGCGACGTGTGACAGCTCCCTGAGTCTGGCTGTCCAGGGTCTGGTAGAGCTGAGTCACGTGGACACAGCTAACCTCAGCCACTGCCCTCAGAGGCCAAGCAACGTCAGGTGGCTGAGGCCTCACTGTGAATCACACTGTACCATCGACTCTGGCGTGCCCCGAGCCCTGGGGGGGACAAAGACAATCAGGACACCCCAGGGGTGACATGCAGAGCCAAAGGCAAGGGCTCCCTCCAGGCCCCTCCTGCTCCAGACACGGGCAGGGAAGGGGCAGGTCCCACAGAAGGGCTGTGGAGCCAGTGACCTCTGGGACACCTCACTGAGGTCCCCGGGGCCTGGGGAGGCCTGTGAGCCCCCAGCCTCCTCCCCACTGAAGGCAGCTCCTTGAGGTCTGCACCCTCCCTGCCCTTCCCTCCTCACTGGCCGAGCTGTTTCAGAGCGAGCTGCCCTTCCAGCTGCAGAGAACACAGGACACACACGGGAGGCAGAGGCTGGGACTGGGAGGGCTGGATGTGTGTCCTGTGTGTCACACAGGGAGGCCTCACAGGCTGTGCTTGGTTTCATGTCCTGCCCTTTCACCTCAATCCACGCCGGGCCCTGAGGATGCAGCACTGGCCGCGCCTGCAGCCCGGGGGAACGTGTCCTCTGCAGAGTCTCAGCCCTTCCCACTGCCTGCAGTGGCAGCGGAGCCCTGGGGTGGTGCTGCCTGCCCCACACAAAGCCATCCTCCTCCCAGCTGTACCCTCCCGGCCCTCCCAGGAGCTCCGCTGGGACCCTTTGGCTCCTGGCTCCTACGCCTCGGCCACCCCAGTCTCCAGGTCTCCATGTAGGTGTCACCTGTAGATAATAGTCACCACCAGCTGCAGTTCTATGGGACCTGGCCCTGGACAGCAGCCCGCCAACCCCGGGCACTGCTGGGCCTCCGAGCGGCTGCTGCTCCTGGCTCCACCCCATGGATTCGCCTTTCCTCCTCTCCAATGAGGTGTAAATGGAGCCACGTGCCCCCACTTTAGTCCGGGGGATGCTGGGGCTGGGCACACAGGCCAAGGGGTCCCCGCATCTCCCCAGCTCTGCTCGGCTGCCTGCCGAGGCTGATGGAGCTCTGTGCCCAGGCTTTTAGTGCCCATGGCAACAGGCCCAGGGCTGTGAGCCGCTTGCTGGTGGGGGCGGGGCCAGCTGGGCTGCACTGCCAGATTTCCCCATCAGGCTTCCCTTGGGGCGGGGATGGCAGGCCCCCTCCATCCCGTGAGCAAGGGTCCTGGGCCTGGGCCTCTACACCAGTGCTGCATTTCCAGCCTCTTGCAGCCAGAGGTCTCACCCCAGGCAGCATCTCAGAGAAGGGAGCACTGGGAGGACCCTGCCCTGCGCCCCACACCCAGCACACGATAGAAGTCCTCTGCGTGCTCCTGTGTGGGCAGGGACGAGACCAGGCAGGCCGCCCTGCAGCCCTAGTGCCCTCTTATGAGCCAGGAGATGAGGGGCAGAGCGAGGGCAAGCTTTGCTTTGTCATCCGAAACGCCTTTGTGCCGCGTGACCTTGGACAGTCTCAACCTCTCTGAGCCTTTCCTCCACCTGTGAGGTGGGCACGGTGACCATGCCTCCCTCGAGAGCAGTGTGTGAGGGCTAAGGAAAACGCCCCACAGGACACACAGACATTGCAGTCGGCAGGTCCCTGCCTCTGGGCCTTGGCTTGCCACCGGGGTCGAGGACCATGTGAAGCTGAGGCTCACGCTGAGCTCACGGAGCTCTGAACCCCCCATGGACTGATCCACGACAAAGTCAGAGCTGGCAGTGTCCCTCACTGCCCGAAGCCCTGTCCCAGCACCACTGGGGACCAAGCCCATGATACAGCAGCCTTGAGCGACACTTCCTATCCACACCATGACCCTTGCCCTCAGTGGAGACGGGGTCCGAATTCAGATCCCGAGTCAGGAGTCTGGGACGGCGTCTGAAGTATTTTGTGTGAGTGTGTGTGTGTGTGTGTGTGTGTGTGTGTGTGTGTGTGTGTGTGAGATAGATACTGGGGATTGATCCAGGGGCTGCATCCCCAGACATGATTGTTGTTGTTGTTGCTGTTATTCTAAGACAGGGTCTCACAAACTTGCCCAGGCTGAACTCAAACTTGTGTCCTCCTGCCTCAGCCTCCTGAGTTTCTTTCTAACATTTCTTTCTTTCATTTGTTTGTGGTGCTGGGGATGGAATCCATGGCCTAGAGCATGCTAGGGATCACTGTCCCCTGAGTGCCACCCCCAGCCCCACTGAACAGCTCTAAGCAGATGCAGGGGCTCCCGCTGAGGGTCCAGGCCCACCCTTGAGTGGCAGGCTGCACAGCCACCCAGAGATTCTCAGCCTGCCGAGCCCCCTGGCTGCCGGCAGCAGGAGCACAAGCCAGCTCCCTGCTGGTGCCCTTCTTACACCCTGCTCCCTGCCCACTGTCTCCTGTCTTGGCCTTACCTATAACCCTCTTCCTCCTGGACCCCTTCTTGAGCCTGCTTCCCAACCAAGACAACCTTATCCCCGCATACCCTCCACTCATGGCAATCTGGAGCAGCCACTGCACTCCAGGCCCCAGTCCCGCCGTGGGAGCAACAGTGCCAGGTGATGCTACTGCTGGCCCGTGGGCTTAAGCCCTCTGAAGCACCCCGATGGCCCTAGTGTTTGTTGGCTGTGACACAAAGCTGGAGCCCCATTAAGGAGGGGATGCTCTGCAGGTGGGGTGCGTGCCTCAGGGCTGGTCCAGCATGAGGACGACTTAGGAACCCAGAACCCAGAACCTTGCTCCCCAAGTCTTACTCTGAGCCTGTTCTTTCGTACATGCTGGGGCTGGCTGCTGAGGTCTGTGGTTCATCTCACGCATTTTTAACGTCCAAGCCAAGAATACCGATTAAAGCCAACGAAGAAAACGCTCCGTGAATGCCTCCCCCAAGTGTGTCGTGTTGGGTGGCCCCACTGGGTGACAAAGCCTGTTAGCCCTGACCGGGTGTCCGGGACAGTTCCCAGGTTCCAAGACAGGGAACGTTCTGGTCTCCCAACTTGAGATGCAGGCTGTCTTCCTCCAGGGATGAAGCAGGGAGGGGAGAAAAGTGTGAAAGCAGATGGAAATGTAATTTTTTAATGACAGCAGCAGATGGCAAAAAGACACAAGAGTGTATTCACACCATGTCGGAGGCACACGAGAGCGCCTGGCCCCACAGTAGCGCACGTGGTGGGGCTGTTATGTGGGCCCTGCTAGGCCTAGGGGGCAGCCAGCTGCAGGGAGGGCAGGCGCTGCCAGGCGGTGTGAGCCACAGGTAGGCGGGAGATACCCGTGGCCACCTGCATGGATCCGGATGGCTCCTGCCCCAAAGGATGCTGGATGCAGACAGGCCTTGTTCTCTGCAAGTCCCGTGGCTCCCCTGGCCCCTGCTGGAGTAACACAGGGGGCTTCCCTCCAGAGATTCCCATTCTGCATTTCTTTTGTGCTGCTGTGATTGTATTTCTGGCCCCTTCCTTAGCTCAGTGACAGACACTGCCTGCTTTTCACCACTGCCTCTCAAGTTCCCCCAAGACAACAGGAGAGAGGTGTGGCATCAGCTGGGCTGGGGGGGCTGAGAGCCCCGGTGCCCAGGCTGCCCCCCACCCCCGAGGCTCTGATTTCCTCAGCCCAGTGAGGCTAAGGCCAAGAGGTGGGTGACTGTGCTGCCCACGGAGACTGCCAGGTCCTGAGGGTCTCCCCCAGTCCTACCCTTTGATGCCTGGAATCCTCTGCTTTCTTGGCCCACGCACAGTCTCCTTACTCACAGTAAGAAAGTCCGAGAAGTCAGAGGCTGAGTTAACACATTGTGTGCCGTGGACCCCAGGGGCCTCCCAAACAGCTCAATCCCAGAGTGACCTGGGCACTACCCCCTGGGGAGTTCTTGTCCCAAGAGCTGGCAGTGCAGACACCAGGAAGCAAGTGGAGCAGCTCAGTCCCCATTCTGTTCCTGGACTGAATGTGCTCTCTTGCCAGAGCTCGATTTCCCCTGTGGTGGGGCCTTCCACTCTGGGCACTGCAGAGCATTTCTGTGGGGTGGGGGGAGATCAGCTGCCGTAAAATGGGATGTATGCGATGTCCGAGTGGATGGCTCCCTTTGGTGAACTATTCGGGTGGTCCAAATTCTAATGGAACCAAAAGATACAGTAGAGCTAAGATCCTAAGGAAAAAATTGGCTCACAGATTCAGGATGGTTATTATAGTGTTTTAGGGAGCTGGGGACTTCATAAGAAATGAACTTTTTTTTTTGGTACCGGGGATCGAACTTGGGACCTTGCACTTTCAAGGCAGGCGGTGGAACCACTGAGCTAAATCCCCGGCCCAAGAGATGAACTTTTAAAAAATATTTTTATTAATACAGGCACTAATATACTATGTCGCTTGCAAGACATAATGATTGTATTCATCACGGGGAGCCAGTGCATGTATATAATATATCTTAATTCTTTTTTATCCCTTCCCCTCCCTTTCCCTTTTGCAACTTGTAGCCAGATGTGGTAGTGCACACCTGTAATCCCAGCACTCTGGGAGCCAGAGGCAAGAGGACTGCAAGTTCAAACCCAGCCTGGGCCATTTAAGGACTTAGTGAGACCCTGTCTCAAAATAAAAAGGGGCTGAGTATATAGCTGAGTGTGGAGGTCCTGGGTTCAATTCCCAGTACTGCAACAAACAAAACAAACAAAATGGCTTTATTGAGAAACAATTCACATGTTATAAATTCCATCCTTTACAAGTGTACAATTTGGTGGTTTTAGTAAATTCACAGTTATGCAACCATCATTACTTTCTAGTAGCAGAACGTTTCTACACCCCTAAAGAAAACCAGTAACCATTACCAGTCTCTCTGCATCCTCCCTCTCCCATCCCCTGGCAACTGCAAGTCTTTCTGTTTCTGTGGATTTGCCTGTCTGGACATTTTGCTGAAATGGATTAGACAACATGTGCACTTGATGTGTCTTGCTTCAGGTGGCACGGTGCCTGGCAGGCTCACCCATGTTGTAGTGTGTGCCTTGTGCCTGTGCCTAGGGACGCCCCATTTGTGGAGAAGCTGCCGAGTCCCCATCTGGCTGTGGACAGCGGCTGCTTTGCATCTTGGGTGTAGGGATCCCGCTGTGCCGTGAGTCGGGCGCACACTGCCTCCTCTGCTCTCGGAAGTCCATCCAGTGGTGCAGGCAGCAGCACTGTCCTATCGCACAGATAAGGACACAGAGGCTCTGTGCTCAGGCCTCCCTCGGTGGCATCTCTGAATGGCGGCTTTCCCCCAGCGCTTTTCCTTTGCTCTTTTGTAGCCTACACAAACCAGGAAGTGAAGCCTCGCCAACTTGGGAACGCAAATATTTGCCAGTCAAGAAAACATTCCCCCATCAATCAAAACCCAGACAAGCTGGCTCGCACACCCTGCAGAAGCCGCAGGCAGATCCTATTCTGGCAGGGACCAGGTGGCGGACAGCTTCCCCTCCTGCCAATGCCCCACCAGGCTCCTTGTCTCCCTCCCTCGCTCTGAGGCCGGAGACTGGGTGCAGTGGTCCCTTGTCTCCATCACACAGCACCCAGTGTGACCTCTTACTGTTTTTTATTGCGGGACCATTTGTCCTAATTCATGACCTAACAAAGGTTGCAGTAAGATCTGCCTCAGGTCGGCAAATGAAGACATCCAAACGCCAGACGCAGCTTCCAGGCCAGGTGTGGGCAGAATTTAGGCTACCATCCCTACAGCCCCGCATGGTTTCAGGGGGCCAGGAAGTTGGGCCCTGGGTTAGCTGGAGATAGGCAGCTTTCCTGCCCGGATAGGAAACCCTGGAATCCATATCCTCTGTGCTTTTCTCAGGGCCTAGCAATTAGGGCTTCAAATTTGAACCCAGCCCTCCTTACAAAAGGCTTTCCTGTCAGAACCACCTGGGTCCTGGTTCAAGTCTCACTGGTCTTCGAGTCTCAACTCCCGAGAAGAGCCCAGTGTAGCCCTGACAGGTGCCTTGATCTCCCCGCGCCCGAGGCTGCAGCTCCGGGAGCAGGTGTGCCGTTGCCGCCCATCTGCAAATCCCGCGCGCAGCAGCCTGTCCTCCTGGGCTTGCTAAGGGTTGGCTGTGAGCCTTCCCTGAGAGTGTGACCGGCCCAGGGGTGGGCTGGGTGGCGGGAGCTGCGTTTCTATAGACTTTGAACTAAAGCGTAGAAAGAGGGCAGAAGACTGTGAGCGCAAAGGAAAACCCTTTCCCCATTCCGGGGTCTGTCTGGACAGGCCAGGCCGGTACTAGTGCCCCAAGCAGTTTGATGAAAGAATGCATTTCCTCCCGGCCCAGTGCGGAACGCCAGGGAAGACGCGGCCCCACATACACCCCCGGCTCCACCGGCGGGCGGGCGCCCGGGGCAGGTGATGGACACCAAACCTGGCGTCAGCTGACCGCCGGGTCACCGGGCCAGGTGTGGGCCCGCGGGCCGGGGCGGGGCCAGAGCGGGGGGGGCGCCCGAGAGGCGAGTCTAGAGCGAGGGATAGGGCGGGGCCAGGGCACGTGACGGGGCGGGCCCCGGAGGCAGAAGGCAGGAGCAGGCCCACCTGCCGAGGCTGGGCTAGACTGACTCACAGCCTCGCTCGGAATCGCCAATCCGCGCGGTCTTAACAAGCGTGGTCTGCGCCTCCAGCCGCCCTGCTGAGAGCGCGGCGTTCCGATTGGCCATAGCAGGCTGTTTTCCGGCCGGGGGCGGGTCCCGGGCCGTGGCGGGAAAAGCGGCAGCCGTGGCGCCACTTCCGAGACGCTGAGAGGGTTGAGGGGTTCCCTGCCGGCGTGTGGTGTCGCCATGGACGCGACCGAGGTGGAGTTCCTGGCGGAGAAGGAGCTGGTTACCATCGTCCCTAACTTCAGCCTGGATAAGATCTACCTCATCGGGGTGAGCGTCTCGGGCTCCCGGAGGGCGGCGCGCGGCCCTGGGGCCGGGCTGGGGCCCCGGCGCTCGCTTCCGGTCGCTGACGCCCCGGCCTCCCCGCCCCGGCAGGGCGACCTGGGCCCGTTCGACCCCGGCCTCCCCGTGGAAGTGCCGCTGTGGCTGGCCGTCAGCCTGAAGCAGAGGCAGAAGTGTCGCCTGCTGCCGCCGCCCTGGATGGACGTCGGTGAGGACGGGCGGCGGGGGGCATCCGGGTCCCCTCGGGCCTGCGTGCCAGTCTCTGCTAGCTGTTGCGTTTTGCCTGAAAGTCAGATATATGGACCTAAAGAAGCATTCGTTTTAGACTTTTAAACAAGTACCGACTAGCGTGTTGAGAAGCAGTTGTGTGTGTGCGCGCGTGTGCGCGCTATTGGGGATTGAACCCGGGCCTTTGCGCTAAACTACATTTCCAACCTCTTGGTAAATTTTTCATTTTATTTTTCTATTTTGAAATTCTTCATTTTGAGACAAGGCCTCACTAAGAAGTTGCCCAGGCTGCACTGCAACCTTCAGTCCTCCTGCCTCAGCCTCCCAGTGTGGTAGGACTGGACTGCAGGCCTGGGCCACCAGAGCAGCTTCAAAGTAGTTCTCTCATGTTGCAGAGGATGCATTAAAATGTGCCACTCTACAGTGGAGTAGTATTCAGCCACAAAAAGGCAAGTCGTTGTGATACCTGCCACAACAGTGTGGATTAACCTCGAAAACACGTTGAACGCACAGAACACACACTGTGTGACTGGGATTGGCAGATCTGTAGAGTCAGCAGTTGGTTGCCTGGATTTGGGGGTTTTAGAGGCGATGGAGGGATTATGGGGTCTTTTGGGGATGATGAAAATATTCGAAAATTGAAGTTGAAAATTGATAGTTGCCCGCCTGTATGAATATGCTTCAACCATTGATTTGTATAGTGTGAATGAATTATGTGATGTGTTATCCCTCAAAGCTGTTAGAAGAAGCAGGAAGAAAAATAATACGTGAGACACAGGCAGACTTTATCCTGAGCCTTGGCAATCTTTTTTCTTATTTTTGTTCTTGTTTTTTGAGACAGGGTCTTGCTGTGTAGTATAGTTTGGCCTTAAACTCACTTAAGTAGCCCAGGCCAGCCTTGAACTTGTGATCCTTCTGCCCCAGTCTCCTAAGTGCCGGGATCATAGGCCACTGCGACCAGCTTTGCCATCTTTTCTCTTTCTTGGATGTGAGATTCTTTTTGTCTGAGGGCCATGGGCACACATGTAGCCTAGGAAGAACCCTGAGTGACTTCAGCTGCCCCTCCCCACTGGGAATCATGGGGTACCAGCCAGCGCCTCTCAGATCAGTTTCAAAAGGGCTGCTGTGTTCTCAGTCAGGGTCTAACGGAGTAAGTGACTGATGGTCACTTTGGGGCCTGCTTTGGGGCTTTTTTGGTGGGGATCTCCCAGGGCCTGGCCCCATCAGCCATCCCTCTCCAGGACCCCCAAGAGCCTGTGGCAGAGTGACGCCATGTAAATGGGTTCTCCTAATCTGCTTCTCTCGTTCGGAGCACGTTGTGAATTGCCCCATTTCTGCATGAGTCATTGTTATTCTCCATTCCCAAGTGCTGCCCCCTTCTATACCAGGTGTTTATTCACCTATTCTTGTGTTGGTGGATATTTGGATTTCCCACTTGTATGAAATTCTTGCCTGTCTTTTTTGAAGATAACTTTTATTTTTCTTTGGTAAATAAATACCTAGAGTAGTGCAAGCACGTTCTGGGTCATAGGATGGATGATGCTTAACTCTGCAAGAAATTGCAGCCCAGTAGGAGGTGCACCCTGTAATCCCCGCACTCTGGAAGGCTAGGGTAGGAAGACCGCAAGTTTGAGCCCAGCCTAGGCAACTTAGTGATGTGGGCAGACCCTGTCTCAAAATAAAAAAGATAAAAAGGGCTGGGGATGTAGCTCATTGGAAAGGCTCCGAGTTCAATTCTCAGTGCTATCCAGTCCTCCAGAAATGTAGGCCAAGAGTTCCTGTTCATGTGCAGACCAGAAATTTGGTTTTGTCTTTCTGATTTGGGGAGTTTGGGCAGAAGTGTTGCATAATCTGATTCAGGTGGTAAAAAGTAATCCCAGGGCTAGGGGTGTGGCTCGGTAATAGAAGCTTGCCTGGCCTGTGCTCGAGGCTCTGGTCTCCATCCCCAGCACCTGGGAAAATGAAAATCCTCTGTTATGTAGAGAAGGGTCTGGGGTTGGGAGTTCCCCAGACTGCTTGCTGATGGGCTGCAGAGCTGCAGCTGCGGCCTGTGTGCTGGGAAGGAAGAGGGAGTTGTGCTGAAGACCTGGCTGTGGGTGAGAGGGTGCTTTTAGAGCCCCTCGGACAGTGGTGGTGAACCCACGGTACAGGTGCTGCAGCGGGCTGTTTGTATCATCGAAAGCTCTGAAAGGTTCGCCATCTCCGACCTAGGATGTTATACCTGCTCTGGTGTGTCTGCAGTTTGTACGTTGCCTGTTCTCTTCTGAACCAGCCTTGATGTAACACTTTCCTCAAGTCACTGGTTATTTTGATCACTCACCATATCAGAGGTAAGATGCTTTCTTTCCCTGGAGGAAGAATTTCTGAGTCAGGCATATATTTTGCAGTCTAAAGCAAAAGAACAAAAACTGTCCTTGAGAGAAATTTTCAAGGGGATGGCCTTGTCTCTTAAGAGGTACAAATATTACTCCAAAAAAAATTTTTTTTTTTTAATGTAGTTACTAGTTCATCAACTAGGTAACTGGCATTTGGTAAGTTTGGAAAGTTTAAAAGTTGTCTTGTGATAATATTATATGTATGAACTTCTAAATTTCAGAAAAGTTGGAGAAGATAAGGGATCATGAACGAAAGGAAGAAACTTTTACCCCAGTGCCCAGCCCTTACTACATGGAACTCAGCAAACTCCTGCTAAATCAGTGAGTAGAGCTCACTCCTGAGAGTCATGCCTCGGATATACTCAAGATTCTTTTCCTCCACTTTGCCCTTCCTGCTCCTTCCCCCAACTCTGTTGGATCAGTCCCTGGGGGTCATCTCTGGGCACATGCAGCATTGCTGCCTGTCCACCCCCTGCTTCTCTTTCCCTGTTCTCTTTCTCATTTTTCCTCGCCATCCCCAGTAACCCCCTGGTTCTTTTCATCTGTTGAACTCCACTTTGCTGTTGGACCCAGGGAGAGCCACCCTCATGCCCCAGTGGGAGCTTTTCATAATTATCCATGGTCATTCAGTGCACCTTGGCCCCTCTTTTCTCTTGGGAGTGTGCGGACTTGAGTTCTTTATGGTTCTGTTTCACTGTGTACTCCAGGGTGGCCTTCTTACCATATAACTCACGCTGGCCTCAAATTCTTGGTAACCCTGCTGCCTCAACCTGCCTCATGCTGGGACCACAGTGCCCCACCTCCCCCGCATTGGATCCTGAGTCTTTGTGCATCTTTTGCGGAAGAGGTGAGAGGTTGATATTTGCCTGTGCCCTGAGCTATTGGGAAAGCCTGCTCAGGCCCACACTGTGCTGTAGTAACCCCATCTGCCCACACCCTTACTGGTTTCCTCTCTACGTGGTAGCTAGAGTGGTCTGTTAAAGGCAGAGCCGCCCTGTGATGCCCTGCTTGAAACCCTTGGCACCTTTAAGGTTCTGACTGGCATTCAAAGCTGCACACAGCCGGGAGGGTTTCTCTTTCCCTGCCGCAGCTCCCTGCAGTTCCTCCCCCACATCTGTAAGTTCCACATTCCACTTCTTTCAACATACTGGGTCCTTGTGACTTTGCTTATACTGCCCTTAAGTCCATGTCCTCCTTCCAGTCATCTCCTTTGGTTTAGTCCTAATAGGTGTCCTTCCTGGCTGAAGTGCATGAGTTGTCTTGCAGCTCTACATGCCACCATCATGCTTGCCATAGTTGCAGCTTTCTAATCATTTTCTATGCCATTGCACACGCGCACAGGCCCACACCCATTCTAAATGCCCAGAGACTGTCTGGAATGCTTGTGTCTCCATGGTGCCTAGTGTGTGTGTTTGTTGAATGAATGAGTGAAATTTGTAGAGGACAGGTGAGTGTGGATAGTTTTGCCGGGAGACACTGAGAATATGACTTCCAAAACGTCAAGCTCTTGAAGCTCCCTGGACATCTGGTTGCTGAACTCCAGAACAGAACTTGAACCGAACACTGGGGTCGGACTGCGCACTGCTTGCTTAGAGTGGTTGGAGAGGTGAGGCCCTGGGGGGCCACAGCCAGTGTGGGGAGCTTTGGGACCTCACACAGCCTTGTCCTCGGCTTGGTAGGGCCTGCACGTCGCCTCCTCCTTGGGCAGAGCCTTAGAAGCAGCAGTGCACCAAACGTTGTGCCGAGGGCTGGGGCTCCTAGTCTGCAGGGGTGAGATGTGAGCCTGTCGTACTTTTCCTTTGTTTGTTTTTGGTACCGGGGATGGAACTCGGGACCTTGTGCTTTCAAGGCAGGCGGTGGCACCACTGAGCTACATCCCCGGCCCAGGGTGTGAGCCTGTCCTTAAGCCGCAGTGGTCAGTGCTAAGTTGTCTGCCCAACGAGGACAGTTCAGAAGCTCTTCCAGGGTACAGGCTTGAGGAGGGAGCCTCCCTGGGTTGGTGGAGGGAAGGCCGGAAGGCACAGCCTGGGGGCATGGGGTTCCTGGGCTCTGAAGAGCAGGAGCAGGGTGTCTTCAGAGGGGTCTGAGAGGCGGCTGTGCAGTGGGGACCATGGCTTTGAAGGGGGGAATCTGAAGGCACAGACAGGTCACGAGTTAGCACTATCCAGTGAGGCCTGTCACAGTTAGTGTTTGAAACTCAGTGTGTATGTACTTCATGTCAAAAACCCTGTTCTATAATTCATTTGACTAAGGGACCTAATTTTACCTTTATTCTGCTGTTCAGTTGACAAGGACCTGGGGTCCTTTGTTCTTTAACCTGCTGTTCACTACATGCATTTTATACTACAGATCTGCCACTTACAGTCCTGAGTTAATTGCATGTGGAGAGAGAAAATCTAGCTTAGAGTGCCTAGTGATGGACAGTGTTTGCTTCTGCTTTTATTCTTGGTTTGTCTGTCTTCAAAGGTTGGCCTAAAATATCTCACAAAGGAAAGCTGTTACTGCCCTCCGACTTTGCACTTTTACTCAGAATTTCATTGTGTAGATATTTCATACTGATTTGTATGATCTGTAATTTCTTCTTTGATTTTTGCAACCTGTTTTTTGGATGACTAGGGATTGAACTCAGGGCCTTCACACTGAACTACGTGCCTGCTAAGTTGTTCAGGATGGGGTTGAATTGGTGTTCCTGCCCCAGCCTCCCAGAGGGCTGAGATTCCAGGTGTGCACCACCATGCCCAGCCTGTAACTTGTGTTCTCTGTAGAGAGGGACAGTCCCTATCCCTCGGGGCTCAGGGGTGGGGTGCTGTGCCAAGCGCTGAGCACAGAGCTGAAGGTTTGCTTTCCTAGTGGGTTCTGTGCCGGGACTCTTGGTAAGGAGCAGAGATCCGCTCCTCACTGTAAATAAGAGCAGCAGATGTTCTGACCTCAGAGCCAGCCCCTGAAGCCACTTCTGGATGGAAGGTTTGATGGACAGAATGCTGTTATCCTGAGAATGAGCCTGTCAGACTTGGAGCCAGTTTTCCAGTACCTCACTCTCAAGTAAATAGTCCTGTGGAGCAGCCGGCGTGGGACAGTCACCATGAGCAAGAATAGCTCAGGGTTGGCTCATCCCTGCTGCATGCCATTGGCAGCAGGCTTACCTGCAGAAATCCTTGCATCTGTTCTTTTCTTTTCTTTCTTTCTTTTTTTTTTTTTTTTTTTAAAACCAGGGATCAAACTCAGGTCCTTGCACTTGCAAGGCAGGCACTGGAACCACTGAGCTAAATCCCCGGCCCCATCCTCTCATCTTAACATTGAAGACAAAGCCAAACACTTTCCGAGAGCTTAGTGATTCCAAGCAGCATTTTTTTAAAAAGTCTGTCTGGTGCTGCCTTAGTTTACTCTGTCCTTACTGATTCACCCTGTTTCTTTTAGTGCTTCAGACAACATTCCCAAAGCAGATTCGATCCGGACCCTGATCAAAGATCTGTGGGACACGCGCATGGCCAAGCTCCGTGTGTCTGCTGACAGCTTTGTGCGACAGCAGGAGGCACACGCCAAGGTGGGTGTGGCTCCTAGGGCTGGTAGGCCCTGCCTGAGTTGTGATGCTGCTGGAGATTTCACATGGTACCCTGCCTGTTGAGGCTCCTGCAGGCAGGTAAAGAGGTGTGCTTTTACAATTAGGGAGGCAGGGGTAGAGCTCCGCCATAGAGCACTTGGTCTTGAATCAGTCCCCAGCACTGCCACCACCACGGCAAAAAAAAAAATCATTGGTTTCTTGCTTTTATTCAGTGAAGTTTAGCTTTTTCTCAAAGTCAAAAACCTCTAGGCCAACTGGTCTGTTTTCTTTGTTTCAGCTGGATAACTTGACCTTGATGGAGATCAACACCAGCGGGGCCTTCCTCACAGAGGCGCTCCATCACATGTACAAGCTGCGCACCAGCCTCCAGCCTTCTGAGAGTGCCGCGTCGCAGGACTTCTAGAGCAAGGCCTGTGGTTTCAGTGCGCAGGAGGGGGCCTGGCACCTGCCGCCTGGAGGCCGGCTGGGTGATGTGAGTGCCTGCTCAGGATGTGACAGGTACTTACGGTTCTAGAGTTTTAGACAAAATTTTTGAATGAAAAACATGTAATGCTTCTAGGAATGAATTTAAAACACAAGTGTGAAAAAAACAAGTTTGTGATTAATCTGCAGAACTCTGTTCCCTTGGACCGTCCATTCCCCATCCAATTCTAGGAGCCAGCTTTTCTTCTGTGGGGTAAAGGAAGAAGCTTTAGGCAAGAAAGTTCTTCCTAGCAGAGCTGTGGGTCTCCTGTGTGAACTGGTGGATACACAGGCATAGTGATGTGGCGGGGGCTTCTCCCTTTCTCCATCCTGGTTTCGTGGCTACAGTTAGTGTCTTACAGACGTGGCTCACACAGGACGACAGCTGATCAGTGGCTGGTGATGCTGACCTCTGTTTATCATCCATCCCAATCCACAATAAAAATGTGATCAGCTTGATTCTGTCCGGTATAACTGCCAAGTTGTTTTTTTTGGTACCAGGGATCAAACTAGGGTCCTTGTGCTTGCGCAGCAGGTGGCGAAATCACTGAGCTAAATCTCCGGCCCCTAACTGCCAAGTTCTTTAAAAGGAGCATGCTCTGTGGCCAAGATGATCTGATAAACCAGTAGTGTGCAGCAGTCGACTGAAAACTGCAGGCCGACACCCAGGGTTGTTGGTCAGTCTTGTTCGCTCTATGAAGAGGAAGGTCGGGAGAAGCTGATTCAGTGTTGGGTGAGGCTGAAGATGCAGTGCTGGGAAGAGTCAGACCTGTGCTGCTGCTCTTGGTGGATACAGGGAGTGCTCTTTGTTGTGGACAACAGTGGCTTAAGGGAGATTATTTCATTTTCCAAGAAAAAATTGCTCCAGTTGTGCAGCTGTAACATTGTGGAATTATTAGGTCCCTTCCAGAAATTAGCTTGAGAGTGAGTGGAAGTGATTATCGGACAGTGCCATAGAGTAGAAGGTTCTTGACTTAGTGCCCAGTGTGTCAGAAGCCACAGCTAGTGTCCGCTGGTGTGGAGCACTGTCTGGTATTTGCCGACAGTGACTCAAGCGCGATTGCTCTGGTCTGGCACTGCCCTGTCTCCGTCAGGCAGGTGCTGGTCACTGAACACCAAGCACCAAACCCAGAGGATTAGGACCGAAAGATGGGAGTCTGTGATTGAAGGTGCGGTTCAGTGGGCTGCAGGTGACGGGACTGGCTTTCACACCACACTCTTACTCTGAATCCTTCAGATTGCACCTGGTGTCTTAGAATGAAAGCACTTAAGAGGAAGGGACGGGAGTGAGCCAGTAAGGTGCAGCTGAGTGCCTTCATGTCTCACCTGTGACGCTGTCTAGTTAAGCTTGCAGGGTGGGGGTGTCATAACAAAAACGATTTTCCTCTTAACATGATTTAGGAAGATTTTATTTTTTGGATGTTGTCAGAAATTACAGCAATATATTCATAAATACCTAATTACTACATTCAACAAATAATATTACAATACAGTTAATTCAAACAAGTACACTTAGAACAGGTTTAATTTCACAGCATCTAAACTGCCCCCAGAGTGACCGAGGCACTGTTGTCCTCCCTGCCACCCAAGTCTGGGTTTGCTGTCCTAGCAGTGAAGCACAGGGCACACACACAAGTGACACAACCAGTGAGCATGTCCTCCTCAGGTCAAGGCAGGCTAGGAGTTTTAAGCACTGGATCAGAAAGTGGGGAGCAGGGTACAGTTGTGAGCCAAAGCATGGCTACTGGGCAGAGTACAGATTGCTTCTAAGCGGCTAATACACACTTTAAGGAGGACCAGGGTTTGTGCTAACCATCTCCATCTTGTGGTGATCCCTGGAGTGGAGAGGGAAGGGGGGGGCTCTGGTTTAAAATTCAGCTCTTGAGTTGGCAGTACTGTGGGCTACTTGAAGATTTTATTCTGTTACAAGATTAAGATTTTCTGTGTTCTAATTCTTTGCTCCTGAAGATGCAGGCTCCTTTTAATATTCTGAATATCCTTAGGGGTACAACCTGTGGAAACGTTAATGCCAATTAAGTGTTTTACCCAGTTAAGACTAGGATACAGACTAAAATTTTGAAAATTCTGAGACAGTGGACTGGGAGCATGATATTGTCTTGTCATTTTGGCTCTGATTCTATGAAACAGAGCAGCTTGCCTTGAAGACCGATTAAATGCGGAACCACACCATCTAGCATCTGGCCATGTCCCTCTGAGTGTAGTGAATTCCCTGTCAGGACAGGTGGCAGCTGTCGCTTCCAGGTGATGTGGGAAGACACAGTTGAGGACTGAGGTATTTGCGTAAATACGGACATACAGGTTGCATAATCCATTCTCCTCAGCAAATCTGTGCTGTACTGTTCAGCTGTCTTAAACTCAATGAGCAACAGCTGAACAAAAAGCGTCAGAGGTTGTGTTATCAAGCCCCACTGAAAACGGTGTATTCTCTGAAAACTAATTGTTGGATGGGAAAATCATGGTGGGCTGTCTTGGTGGTGTACTTTGTTAGGAGACACTCTACCTCTTTTGTGGTTTGTGTGTGCTGCCTTACTGCTTGGTACTTGTGTTCTGATTGTCATATTACTTCTCGGGCAGAATATTGAGACATCTCTGCGGGCGGGAGAAGGGGGAGGCAAGACAGTGGAGCAGCCTGAGGGCAAGCAAGAGCGCAGTTTCCATGTGGATGGGAGAAAGCGGTTACTGCTGGCGCAGGGACTTGGCCTCCGCCCCGCGCAGCCCTTTGTTCTGTGTGCCACCCCGTGTCGGGCTGGCCAGCCAAGGGGATGTCCCTTGGCTGTGGGAGGGGGCCGTGCCCATCTTTCCAGTAAGGTATTAGAGCCACTTTCCCTTTTCCTTTAGCCAAGGCCGTTATCAAACCTCACTAGCAAATGTGTCAGACATCTGTGATGTGGGGAGCAGCCTGGGAGTGAAGTGCTACCGTGAGGCTCTTGACGCCTTCAACCCGGAGACAGCAAGAGACTGTAAGCAGGGAAATGCAGTGTTACTGGGCCCTGACCCAGTGCGGCTCCCTCTCCACACCTGTGGAACATGTGGCTCTCTTAATGTCTCTGCAGGGGATGAGACCCCACCACAGCCTTTTAGTTCTCTTCCACTTGCTGCTTGTGTGAGAAAGCGCCTTATTGACTGGCGGCTTTTTCTGAGTTTGCTAATAACTGGAAGATCCTTGGCAGGCATACAAAACAAACTGTGGGGGCAGATGAGTGACACGGTGCCAGCTGCCAGCAAGCCATTCTGCACCGTAGGGCAGGAGCTTGGGCCGTGGAGTACAGCAGCGTGTGTCCAGCAAACACTGAGCTCAAGCTGCCTCCCTTGCCCTGATCCGCCCCTGGGCCTCTGGGGAGGGCCCAGCCCCACTCGAGGTGCCTTCCTGACCTATAGGAAACATGCGCCAGTGGTGCGGCTGTTCCTGTGCCCGTCAGCTAGGTTCAGAGGAGGCATTCAGCTCAGACATTGTTGATCCTACTTGAGGCTTTTACAAAGCTCTGTATCTAAATAAAGCTTCTAAAGTTTCTACTCTGCACCTGTTCGCAGGCATCTTAGAATTCTATCGCAGAAATTGTTCACTTCCTGAAAGGTTCTTTTAGAAAGCCCCAGGTCCCTGTGTGCATGTGGCTGTGACACACAGGGTCTATCTCATTCCCGCCACAAACTGTCCCCTCACTCCACAGCAGCGGGTTCTGCTTGCCATTACTTTTGTCCAAATGTGGGGCCAGGGGTAAGGGAGGAGGTAAGAAGTAACGCATGGCTTTCTACGTCGGTTCTGGTGCAATTCAAATTAAAAATGAAGTGATCGCATAGGCGCCAGTGGTAAGCTCTTTTACTTTTTCTTCTTCTTTAATTTTTAAAAACTTCAATATTTTAATGTCCTGACCAGCAGCAGTACAAACACCTAAAAGCAAGGGTTTTTTTCTTTTCCCAGAAAAAACAAACAAACAAAACCCCCAAACAGGAAAAACAAACAAAAATCCCCCAAACCACATATTAAAAATGGCAGGCTTTTTATAACAATTAAAAGTAATAAAAACATACAAAACTTTGTTTTTAATATATACACAGTACAAGGCTGAAGCACCTTTGACTTTTCTCTCAAAATTTACGTTTGTATGAAAACACTCCCCACTGCAGTAACAACTAGGTGGGTGTGAGTACATATACATAGAGCTCTGTACATTCTCCCCACAGAGTAGTAAAAAGGTACCTTCAGTTTGGGGATTCATTTTATCTTTAAGAGCTTTTCCAGGAAAAAGCCTTGGATTGCTCTGTGTGCTCCTAGGACTGGTTGTTTTAAAGACAATTTTGTGGAAAAGTAACTGAAAAAAAAAAAATAAGCCCTTTACTTACAATGCACCCAGCCTTCTTTTCAGCTGGAGTCAGTCTCGCTCCTGGGCAGGAATGAGGCCAACCCCGAGCTGCAGCAGGAACAAACCCAGTTCTTGGGCACAGTAGCACGGCAACACGACAAACAGGACCAGCCAGTCAGATCCAAGCCCACACACCAGGGCGATAGGTGATACTGTTTTAGTGTTGGCAATGGAGCCTTTGCTTTCAGATTAAAAGAATGATGTGGGGGAAAGGGAATAATTAACCACCTTTAGGAAAACTATGGGCGTCCTACACTGGCTGCTCGCTGAATGACAAAGGTGATTCGACTGCATTGAAGTCAAGGTGAGTTCATTCATTTGCTTTTGTCTGGAGCCTGAATTCCTTTGCTTCATGCATGGCACATTCTCATTTTTTTAAGCTTCAAACCTCCCAGTGAAAAATATTAAATATTCAAGGTAATAAAATAGATAATATTTCTATACTATAGGTTCGGCCTAGTGCAAGGGAAACCGTCACCTCGGATATCCCTTAAAGTAACCCCTAGGCCAATGCATTGCAGGCAAGGCAAGGCACTTCCGTAAGTGGTCCAGTTCTGCCTGGAGTCGCTCCCGTTCAGAGACAATCTTCTGCTTTTGACTCCTCAACTCCTGGGGAGAGGGAAACTCATGTCAGAAAAAACGTGCTCCATCCAGTGTGGTACCTGAATGCACTGGCTGTGCGTGGAAAGGTCAACCTGGTACTTTGAAAAGGTCCCCTTCCCAGCTCAGTATCACTGCCTCGGGTGATCTGAACAGGTTTTTCCAGAGTCTTGGACTCTGGCAATTCCAGCTTTTAAGGAATGAGTACACTGTGGGGTGAGCTCAAAGGCCAAGTTCTCTGAGGCATGTTCTGAGCCCTGCCCACATCCCTGCTGCCCCGAGGCAGCCTGGGGACGGGAGATACCGGAGGTGGGTGGCAGGTGGGGAGTGTTGCCTCCAGAGCTTTCCATCTTCAATAAAATCCCCTCCTGTCTCCCTAGCAAATCACAGAAGGGGAGACGGGTGCTGGCAGTAATTCCCCAGAGGGAACAAAAGAGAATCAGTGTTCCACAAGAATCTTGGGTAATCAACTGACGCCAGAGTCCCCCCAAGATTATATATGCTTCCATCTCTTCAGAGTGGTCCCCAGAACAAGGCTGCGCGGGTCTTGGCTCCCTGTGCCTACTCACCGCCATGCTGTGGGAGAGCTGCTCCGCGGTCAGACTGAGGCTGTAGTGCTGGGCCTCCAGCCGCCGGCACTGTGTCTGTAACACCTGCCGCTCCAGGTTTTGCTCTGAAAGAAAGGTGGTGAGCTCACATCTGTTCAGTGACTGTCTTCCTGGCCCCGCAGCCTCCTGTGGACCCCTGTGCCCTCACCCTTTTTTATTTTCTGAGACTGGGTCTTACAGGCATGTGCTACCACCTCCAGCCTGCAGTCCTTTTTTTCATACCAATAAAAGCCTAACCCAACTTCGGCATAATGAAGGATCTCGAATCAGAAAGTGGTTTAAGAGATACAGACTAGGAAGACATAAGAGTAAATTCACAGCCTTGAAAGACTTTTTTTTTTTGTGGTTCCCAGGGATTGAACTCAGGATCTTGCACTTGCAAGACAGGTACAGTGTCACCGAGCTAAATCCCTGGCCCAAAAGCCATCTTTCCAATGAAAGATAAAGTTAGCCTTTCAGTTTAAGCTGGAACTGTGTAAACAACTCAAATGCCTGCCTCATCAAGGATGGAAGGCCTCCTGGTAGGAGAGGGACTTTAAACCAAGGGTAAATCCCTGTATAAAGGGATTCACAATGAAAAACAAGATGACCTGGCTGTCTTTAGAGATTAATATTTTTGTTTTTGAGACAGGGTCTCCCTGTATAGTTCAAGCTGGCCTTGAGCACATGCACCTGGCTATAGAATGATCTTGATAGCAAAAGAAAGCACCACAGCATTAGGGTCTACTGTAACTTAAAAGTCAAAAAGCCACTTAACAGATTCAACAAGGATGGAGGAACAGCAGGAAAAAAAGAACTTGGCCATATCAGTAGGTATGGAAAATACTTCAGTGAACTTTTAACAAACAATACGCCATAAACTCAGATAAACTAGGCAAATAAGACCCCCCCCCTTTATTTTGTTTTAAAAGTAGAATGCCTCATAAAATTTCACAGAAATGAGCCCCACTGCTGTCTCTGTTCCATACCAGTAGAGCCCCTGGGCAATGCTGTCTGTATGACAAGAAAATTAAAAGTATGAAATTTCAAGAAGAATCACACCTTTTAAATTTGCAGATTTGATACCTTATGATTCCTACCTAGGGCAGAATAGGTAGCTAAGTCCAAAGTAAACATTTCCCAAATGTAGTAAAAAGAAACTTCTTAAAACAGTGCTATGCCATATTCAAAGGCAGATGCTATTCTTCCCCAGGTCTGGAAGATTTTTTTCTTTTCAGTACTGGGGATTGAACACCAGGCATCAGGCCTGCTAGGTAAGTGCTCTATCATTGAGCTACATGCTCAGCCTGGCCTTGAATTTGTGATTTCCTGCCTCAGACTCCAGGTAGCTGAGATGACAGGTGAGCTCAGCCATGCCTGGCTCTGGTGAGACTATAGTAAGACAATTCTAAAATTCACGCAGAAAGCCAAGGGCCAAGAACAGCTGAGTTAGGTCACAGGAGGATGAGACAGGGCAAGTCGTTCTAGACAGCGAGGCCACTGTAGGTGACCGAGTTGGGTTCTGTCATGAGTCCCAGACATAGTAAGAAAAGGAGAACTTACAGACTTGGGGAAGAAAATACTAAAAAATAACCTTACAACCTTGGTGCAGGGAAAGAATTTCAAACTAGGTTCCCCACAAGCCCAAAAAAGCATCTATCTCACTTCTTTAAAATTTAATTTGACCTACTGCTGTGTATTACTTGAGTACAACATATGTACTCCAAGAACAACATGTAAGGGAGTGATGGTCAATAAATTCAAAATAAGGACACCATTTGATAACCTGCCTGTAGCTACTTGGTTATTTGTTCTGTTGATCTGTACTTTTGTTCCAAAAATTCCTTTCAAAGTATTTGAAATGACTGGTCTTAACTACAAAGACTAGATCACAAATACTACATACAGCCCAGCAAAAGCAGCCTAGGATTGGCTGGCCATTGCAGGCACGTATCAGCTCTTGTCAAAGTGGGTAGCCAGTGCTGCCCAGTTAGGGTGGCGCACGCAGGGCTAAGCGTTGTGCCCCCTCCGCTCCCCAAGGGGCTTGTGCAGACATCCTGAGAAACCAAGGTAGAAAGGATCATAAAGCCTGAACTCTGGTAGAGCCCGGCTGGGACCAGCGAGGCAACTGTCCAGAAGTGGGCTGCTGTGTAGAGTTAGCTAAAGATGTGACTGACTCTCATGGAACAGCCTTCCTGGGGGAGTCCCACTTGGGAGTGCATCACAGGACTCAGCTAGGGACACAGACTTGGGGACAGGATATTTTAGATGTGGCCCAGGGAGCAAGACCCATGTTTGGGCCATCACACTGCTGTAGGCCAGCGGCAGACATCGCAGGTGCACAGCCCTCTAGGTCAGCCACAAGCATCGATGAAGACAGAGCTTCCTTCCTAAACTTACTCTATACCCACCATCCTCCCGCCCCACTGCATACCTTCTATGTGTTCCTGGTAAGCTTCAAAAATTGCCTCAATCCCTTGCCACTTGCGCCTGGGGGCTTCTTCATCTTCCTCTTCACTGTCGTCCTCCTCGTTGTCGTCTTCTGAGTCCTGGTCCATCTCCTGTGTGTGTAGACCCTTCCTCCTGGCTAGGGGCTCCTGCTGCCCATTATGCTGAGGCAGGGGGACCCGGCTGGATGACTGCAGCTCAGGAATGTTGTAGTGGACAGATGTGTCAACCTTGTGGTTCTGCTCTGCAGACAGCACAGCTACACTCCCTGCAGAAGAGAACAAGTGTGTCCACAGGGTGAGGCTCTCTAAAGGGGCTCTGCCTGTGTACCTGCAGAGGGGTCTGCCCCACACCTCTGGGCCCGAGATGGAGCTGGGAGGGAGGAGGGAGGGTACAAGAGCTGTGGAGTAGTGGCAGACCCGAGTTCTAGTCAGACTGGGCCAAGTCCACCTCTGGAGCTGAACCTCACTGTGGGCTTGGGCACAGGCAGCACGAGCCTGGCCCACCACAGCTTGGCTGTGACCTGTCTCATTGGTCTGCACTGGCTTGCGCCTCAGTGCTGCTGATAGCTGCCTCTGTGTAGTGAGTCCAAATTGATCCGGCTCAGAGTGTCAGAGCTCAGTGTCTTTAAAAACCTTCTTAAGGGCCAGGGATTTAGCTCAGTGGTTCTGGCGCCTGCCTTTCAAGCGCAAGGTCCTGAGTTTGATCCCCGGTACCAAAAAAAAAAAAAAGAGAGAGAGAAAGGTATCGAAGCTCTGAAACAAGTAATTAAGAGATATGCTCGGAAGCAAAATCAATGGGTTAAAACCTTAGCCAGGCAGAGTGGCACATGACTATAATCCCAACGTTCTAGGAGGCTGAGGTAGAAGGACTGCAAGTTCAAACCTGAGCAACTCAGTCGAAAACCCAGCCTCAGCACCCTGTCTCAATAAAATAAAGCTGGGGGTGCAGCTCAGTGCAAAGGTTCTGGGGGTTCAGTTCCCCGGTACTGGACTAACAGTTTTAGCATGATGCCTAAATCATTTTGTTCTGGCTATTAGAATTCATACTCATTCATGATCCCTGGTACCAAAAAAAAAGAATTCATGCTCATTCATACTCAGTTATTACTGAGAACTTCCAATCAGTTTGTTTCTGATTCACTGGGAATAAAGTGTGGTAATCCCCATTCTGACCCTCGTGACTCCCACGCAGATGTCAGTGCATCTGGACACGTGGGTGGGCCGGGAAACTGCTCTGAGGGTGTGCACTTGCCAGGCCCCGTGGAGGGAGTAGCACCCACTGGAGCTCTGTCAAAGGGCCAGGGCGGTCTCTAGCTGAGTGCTGGGTGGGAGGGATGCTGGGAAAGCCACGGTGCTACAGGTGCGTGGGACTTCTGGCCAGCACCCCACCTCACTGGCCTGGCTGACTAAACTCATCTGCTGAACTTCCTGGAGTGTGACCCACAGGCCAGCAGTGTCAGCTGGGTTCACTCAGACTGGTGCCGGACAAGATCCCCAGCTGCCTCCTGGGAACTGAAGTTTGAGGCACCATCATCATACACAGCCAGACTAGCTGAGCCCATGGATGCTCGCAACAGCTGCTGGCGTGCAGGAACATTAGCTTGCTGCTAATGCAACTCGGGACAGAGTGGGATGGGCAGCCTCATTACCTTTATGCTTCTGCAGGGCCTTCTGGGTGGACTGCAGCACTGACTCGTGGAACTGATGTGCAAACTCTTCTGCCATGAAGGGCTCCCACGATTTGCTCTTCCCGTTGACGCTGTGGGACAATGGCACAGGAATGTCCTTGGGCGCAGAGCCCCGGATGTAATGAAGCATGCTCAGGCTCTTCTTGCCCCCAGGGGCCTCGCTCAGCCTGGCCTTCTCACCGCTGGTAGGAGCTGGCTCCTGGGCTCTCGATAGTTCCTGGGGCCTGAGTGGTTCCAGTCTTCCAGTCTCCACAGCTTTTGGGACATCGGACAAGGAGGCAGCAATACCAACAGGCTTGTCTGTCTCCACAGAAGCAGGCTGTGTAGCTGGTTCTTTGAGAGAGAGAGAAAGTGAGGAAACATTAAGAGCTGCAAGTTATTATTATTGGATTTCTTTTGAGACAGGGTCTCGCTTTGTAATTCTGGCTGGCCTCGAACTTAAAGCGATCCTCCTGCCTCAGCCTCCCAAGTGGTAGGGTTACAGGTGTGCACCACCACGCCCAGCAAGAGCTGGAAATTAACAACTAGGGTGTCCAGCACTCGGACCCCAGCCTCTAAAAGCTTACATTTAACAAGCACCTAGTACAAAGAACCAAGATATGGGGACGCAACCCACTGTGCACGTGGCTGGGCTCTCAAGAGGTGGTGTTTTCAGCAACAAGTCCATCCTGGAATAGTGCCCTCAGAGGGCATCTGAGAAGAGGGCAGATGGGAGAAGCAAGCTGCTTCCAGTCACTGAACAGGCACTGGGTGAGAAAGCACGCGAGGAACCAAGCTAAGGAGGACGGACCAGAAGGAGTCCCTGCTTGCTTCAGGCAGAGGTGCAAGCAGATGTGAGAAGAGGTGAAAGCAGGTACTGACAGGGCCAGGCAGACAGGCTGGGCTGAGGGCTGTTGTTCTGCCCCAGGCAGCACTTCGGGGGTCAGGTCCCCCTCCACTGGCTTTGGGACGAGGCTCTGAGGGCCGATGGCTCAGACCACGCAGACCGCCAGACGGCGCTGTGGAAGCCGGCCCCCTCCCAAGCTCTGCCCAGTTGTGTCCCAAGGAGCAGTGTGACTGCGTGTGAACTACGAGAGGGATGGAGAAAAACGTCGCCTCCAGCAGGTCAGGTTCATGATGAAGACGACCTTCAGCGCCACCTGACCCTGGGCTGTCCTTCCCTTACCGCTCAGGGAGATGGCAGGACTGTCCCTCGGAGAGTTTGTCAATGAATCTGCCACCACTGCGGACAGTGTCCTCTGCTTTGCGACACGGAGCATTTCAACAAGTCTCTCGTTGTCTGTGAGAAAAGCAGCCCGAGGTTAACGAGGCAGGGCACCATTGCCAAGGGAGGGTGGGAGTCTGGCCCGCCGGGACTGGCAGATGCAGGCCCATTAAATCAAGAAGAATGGAAAGCAAGTGCCACAGGCCTGCCATGGTGACGGAAATAGCCTTTGAGCTAGAGCAGGACCAGCTCCTCTCTGCTTCCACCGCATGTGCCAGATGTGTTCCAGACAGCTGTGTGCAGTGTGCAGGGCTCTGGGAGCAAGTGATGCCCATGGTCTTTCTGGCGAATTCTGAGGAGTTGTTCTTATTTAAAAGCCAAGAGATGTAGCCCCCCAGGCAAGGAGACACCCCATGACTGGGCAGGCCTCTGGAGTACTGCCCGCCACTACTCCTGGTGCTTGAACACCCTAGCACCTTCCATGCTGTGGATTCCCATTTCAGATATGCTCTTGCCAACCCTGAAACTGAAGAGGCCACAGTGTCGATGGCTTCCTCTAGAAATTCAGTCAGGTGAAAGGATGGTTTGTGAAAACACAAAAAAACCAAAAACAACCTAGGCACCTTTCCAGGGATTTGTGCTGGCAGTCAACCTGCCACAACCCTTAAAGGGAAAGCAAGGACTCCGACGTGCTGGTTAAGTGGAAAAGCTGCTGCCACTCCCCAGTCAACATGTTGGAGCAACTCAAGGACTGAGATACTCTTTGCTTTCCTTTGACTTTCTTCCAGAGAGGATGCCAAGTGTCTGCAAGGGGACTCTGAAACACGCAGGGAACACAGCCAGGAACGCCAGTGTCTCGGCGCCCAGCCAGCATGTCAGGGAGACCAAAGCTGCGGAGGCCCTGAGAAGGGGCCGGGGCCACACCACTCCTGCTGTGCAGTAATCCCAGCCCAGAGGACACTCCCTGGGTGAGCACACCGACCCAAGCCACCTGCTCCATGTGTTGGCCATGCCTAAAGGTGGCAGGCCATCCCTGCCCTCCCCCAGGCTTCCTGCTACAGAACACGAAGCCCAGCAGACCGTGTCAAGGAACACCCAGAGTTCAAGCCTGCGGCATGCACACCCAGAACCCGGAGGAGGGCTGTGCCTCCCCCCACTCCCAGGTACAGCCACCAGCACACTGCGCAAGCTGGGAAAGTGACCAGGGCAGCTGTCAGCTCAGGACAGGCTACACATGCAGGAGGACATGACAAAAGATGTATGGAGCACAACGGCAAAGCACAACCAGCGTTTGTACCATGGGGCACTATATGCACCCTGTGCAACAGAGGTGCCCACACACACACCAGCCCAGAGCCCCACCTCCTACCACACAGGCTGGGGGAAGCCATACCTTTCCTCTTCTCCGCAGTGATGTGGGTCAGGTTGAAGATGGTCAGGAACTTCCTCTTCTCCTCGAAGTTGGGGCTGTTGTTCATCTCGTCGGGGCTGTAGCGCGTGGACAGTGCCAGTCTTGGTGAAGGCATCTGCCTCTTACTCTGAACTGCTGGTGGGGACGGGCTTCTCTCCTTCAGCATCCGCCGACGCTTCCTCCGCTTCTGGGCCACCAGCTCCTCCTTCTGCTGTTGGGTGGTCAAGCCAAAAAGTTGCAAAAATTCTAGCTTCTAGATTGGGAAAGAAAACAAATGAGTTTGAAACCACTGGCAGTGGTATGTTTTCATTGTCCAGGAGGTCCCCTCCTGGGGTTCTGGAAGTCTGCGGTGGCTGACTCGGTGCCCAGGAGGAGGCACAGTAGGGTGTGAAAGCCGAGGCAGGCCTGACCTGGGGACCCACAGCCCAGCCCAGAGCACGCCATGAAGGGAGGAAAGCCCAATACCTCAGAGGACGTGTCCAGTTTGAGGGGTGGCTGCTCAGCCACGCAGCGCAGATGGGCCCTGACCTCCTCCTCATCGCTCTCATCGTAAGAGTCATCGAGGTCATAGTAGTATCCTGATGGCGAAGAGTGGTTGCATTCAGCCAGGCAGGGAGCCTGGATTCTCTAGCCAGTGTGTACCTGGGGGACATGTGTGAGCCAGCCAGCCCTTGGGCCAAGCCTGCTGGCCTCCAAGAATCTTAAAGCTGGTTGGTTCCTTTCAACCCAGTGTTAAGCCCCCGGTCAGCTGTGTCTGGCTTCCTTGGACCAAGTGGTTTGGCATTCCCCAGGCTGACAGGGACCCCACCAGTAGGGGACCATCACAGTGTCCATGGCAACGAGATGCTGTCCATGCACACATGCTCCCAAGAGGGGATGGGCAGAGAACAGTATCAGGGCCCCTGCTCCGTGGTCTCAAGGCACCCACTCCCCCTTATTAGGTGTGTAGGGGAGAAAAACCCTAGTTGGGCTCCAAATCTAGCCTAGACTATGCTGTACCCCTGCTCAGGTTAGGAGGAGCCAAGTTCAACACCAGACAGGACTGAGGCTCCATGGAAGACGTGAGACTGGCCTGGAGCCTGAGGTGTCCTCACTAGACACCTGCTGGCGGCAAGCCCTTCTACCTTCTGATTGAGCTGGGCGTGCAGGGGGACAGCCTTGCACCTGGCCCTGCTCCCTTGGGTTTCCTCCCCTTGGCAAGAATAGGAAGGTGCCTGACTCCTGGCCTGGCCTAGGCTTTGTCAACTGTGCCCCCACTCCCTGGCCACCTGCCTACAATTGACACCAGGGCTCAGGCCGGTCTTACTGGCGGCCTTCTCCCTTGTTAATACTGCACCATTAATATTTAAAACCACCTTATTAGACCCCATTCATCACTTATTAATCGTGTGTGTCTGCAGCACCATGTACAGACAGGCTCTGATTTGCCTTTCTGGGACTGTATGCACCCTGGTAGGACCAGTGGCGGGCCAGGGTCTTTCTCCTTGCAGAAGTGTCAGGTTGCTACACAGGTATTTGTGAACTTGCTACCTTGGAGCCTATTAAAACCCTGCACTCTCCTGAAGCAGGAGGAGGAGTGAAAGCCAGCACCAGGGTCCCCTGTCCTGCTAAAATCCCCTTCCCAGGCAGGTCAGGGCCACCCAGGGGACCGGACCTTTTTCCTGGGCCTCCCGCCGCCGTCGCTCTTCCAGGTCCAGCTTGCTAACTAGCCTTCGGCGCTGCTGCAGGACCTCATCATAGATGTAGGCAGGGTCAGGGCCCCGGGGTGCCGGGTGCCGGTAAGGTGAGCCAGGTTTCAGGGGCCCACTGAGCTCCCCAAAGGAGGCTGCCGGGGGGAGGGAGACCCGCTGCTGGCCCAGGAGGGTCTGCGCAGACTTCTCAAGTTCGGCCAGGAAGGGCCCCGGCCCGTGGGGAAAGGCCTGGGGCTCCAGGCTTCCTGCCTCCCGTGGCGGTGGCTGATACTTGTCCAGGGGGTTGGCCTCGCGATTCCGGGGCTCCTCTGTCTTTTCTGGGCAGTAGACGCGCTCCACCTTCACCAGTGGGACGGCGGCCTGGCGGCTGGGCTCAAATGCCACCGGGTGGCTGTGCAGAGTGTGGCTCTCAGCCCTCCTCGTCTCCAGGGTGTTATCCATCAGAGACACTGGGTTCCAGAGCGCTGTAGGCACCGTGTGGTGCTGCGGCTTGGGAGAGATGAGAGGTGGCGGCCCGCCAAAGTGTGGTGGGGCCTCACGGCTGCCCTGCTCCAGCCGGGTTGGTCCTGCCCTGGGGAGAGAGCAGATCAACCACCAGTCACAGGGCTGCAGACCTGCCGGCTGTCCAGGACCTCTGCAGGCTGCCAGCTGGCCCTACACAGAGCTGGGGGTGAAGGAACAGGGAAGGCTGCCGCTCCTCTTTCCGGGCCAGGCCCCGCCTCTTTGTGGAACAGCTGGTGGCATGTGAGTGTGGAGCTGCCTGAGGGGACAGGGCGGCCCAGAGCTAGGCTGCTGGTGAGGTTGTGGAGGCCCCCTTGGGCCCAGGCTCCACTTGCCTGCTCACCCCAACTCCATGACAGATGCTCAGCCTGTGTCCCTTACTGGAGCTGAGGCCCTGCCAGGAGCCCTTCCTCCACAGGGCAGGTAGACAGCCAGGCGCTGCCTTCGCAAGGGCCACCACTCTGCCCGCTGTCCTCCCAGCCCCAAGCTCCAGTATCTGTCCAGCCTGGTGCCCAACCCACAGGAAGACCTCACACAGGTCGGTCCCTGTCAGAGCCGCAGTGACCAGAGCAGCAGCTACATGCAGAGGCACTCACAGGTCTGGGCAGGAGGCACTGGGGATCTAACTCGGGCCCCTTCAGAGGCTCTGCCTCGCCCCTCTACTGCACGGGATTTCCTTAGTGCTTTTACACAAAAGGCAGCTCCTGAAGGACTACTTCAGGTGTTTCTCCACAGCTTTTTTCTGAGGCAGCTATGTAGGACTTCAGGACCCATGCTGCTCAGTGATCCAGGGCAGGTCTGCAGGAAGGAAGCAGAGCCTGGCACGCTGCAGCCAGCACCCAACCCAAGGCCCTCCACACCTGGCTGGGTACCACCCACACAGCCTTGCAGGCTGGTTCGAGCCACTACAGACTTAGAACTGGGAGCCCAGCCCCATGAGCAGCAGAGCACAACGAGAACAGCCCCAGAAACTGTCCTTCGGTAAACAGCAGAGGAATAAAACCATCAGCAGAACAAATGCTTCACGCACTAGAGCCAAGCACTGCACAGCTTTCCAGTCGAGAACACAAGGACCCTGTCAGAATGTCACGTTCCCGATGTGTATGGCCGCGTGCACAGCCAGGCATGGGGCAGGCCCCGACACCCGAGTGGGCTCTTGGGCAGCCGAGCAGGAAGGCTCGCCTGCAGGCTCAGAGCACACTTTCCCAAGTGCTGCTGGCTGGGCACCAGCTGCCCTCTCAGTCCTCAGGCCGGGAGGGATCTGGGGCATAGGGCAGCACAGGAGCCAATGAAGCCGAGCCCTTGTGAGGCCTCAGAGGAATAGTGAGGCACAGGGGGCCCATCCGGTTGTGCTGGACAAGCTGGTGGGCCAGGGCCAGCTCCCTCCCAGACGACCCACCCAACGTGGAGGAAGGAAGCAGGGCGTGTGTCCCAGACATCTTCCTGCCATCCTCCTCCACACCCTGAGGAAACTGAGCTCTGCAGAACAAGGCCTGGCCTTGGGTGGCAATGGGGGAGGACAGCACTCCTCCCGGGAGGGATGCTAAGGCAGGTGGGGACAGGGAGCCCACAAGGCCAAGGCCAGGGCCAGGAGCCAGGGGCTCCAGGGGCAGACCCAGACTCCCAGGGAATTCGTCTACACCAGGGCTAAAATGGGTGTCATTTATTATTCCTATTTCCCAAGACAGGGTCTCGCTGTGTAGTCCAGGCTGTTTCAAGCTCATGGCGATCCTTCTGCCTCAGCCTCCCAAGTGCTGGGATTACAGGTGTGTGCCACCACACCTGGCTTGTTTATTTAAAAAGCAGTAAGGGCCAGGGATTTAGCTTAGTGGTTCCACCGCCTGCCTTGCAAGCGCAGGACCCGAGTTCGATCCCCCGGTACCACAAAACCAAGAACAAACAAAATAAAAAGCAATAACAGCTCATTTAAAAAAAATTAAAAGCACTCCCTTTCTCAATTTAAAAAAAAAAAAAGCCCAGGCTGAACAGCCAAGGGAAGTGGAACAAACAGGGATTACTGGTCACTAAGCCTTCCAGCCACTACCTCTGGGCACCACAAGCAACCTGCTGAGGACCGCGGGGTGTGCGGAAGGAGCCCTCTATTTGTGCATGGACCCCAGCTTCCCCAGGCAAGCCAGGCAACGTGAGACTAAAGGCACCAGAAGCAATGGGAGGGCAGCGGCCCCGGGCCCCACCTGCTGCTCTCCGGCCTGTGCTCCGCCTCCGTGGGCACCAGGGGCCGGCTGATGTCCAGGTGCTGCTCCAGCACCTGCTGCCGGAACTCTGACACCTGGGACTGCCGGTCCTCCTTCTCCTGCCGCAGCCGCCGCTGCCGCGCCAGCCACTTCTCCTCCTCGTTGGTGCGCTGCAGCAGCAGGCTGGCAGCGGCACTGCCGGCCGGCAGGGAGAAGACGCCGTGGTTGGAGATGAGGCTGGGTATGGTGTGCTGTGACGTGGGCACTGGATGCAGGGGGTGCTGCACGGGTTTGGGCGCCTGCAGGCCCACGTCCTTCAGCTTCTCTGTGGGGAGAAACACAGTCACCACAGGGCGGGGCCGGCCGGGGCCGCCCTCACCTGTGTGTCCCTGGAGCAGCTGCCCGTCACAGGCCCTGGCACCGCCAGAACCACGGGGGTGGATGGGTGCCTCTCCCCCCAAGAGGAAAGAAGGAAATGCACGGCTGACGGGGCCTGGCTGGTGCCACCCAAGGGCAGACTTCCAGCTGAGGAGTCGCAGGCGCCAAGCTGGGGGGAGTCACACACCTCCCACTTAGGTTATTTGGCCTATATTTTTACTTATTGAGCCTATTTAACTTTATGAAGCTAAAACAGACTTTCAAAGACACTAAGTAGGCCGGGCGTGGGGATGCACGCCTGTAACCCCAGCACTTGGGAGGCTGAGGCAGGAGAGTACCGTGAGTTTGAGGCTGGCCAGAAGCACACAGCCGGCTCAGCCAGCAAGTACCTGCTCGAGTTGGGGTCAGCTGCTCTGAGGGCTTGACCCGCTCCCGCTCCCGCTCCTCGGCAGTGTGGCCACGCAGCCCGTGCATCTCCACCACTGGCAGGAAGGCCGGCTCTAGCACCTTGGCGGCCCGCTGCTCCCGCTGGCGCTCCAGCTCCCGCTCCTTCTCCCGCTCCAGCTCCCGCTCCCGTTCCCGTTCCCGCTCCCGCTCTCGCTCCTTCTCCTTCTCCCGCTCCCGGTCGGCCTCGCGCTCCCGCTCCCGCTCGCGCTCCCGCCGCAGCTCCTCGTCCATCTGCAGCCTGTGGGTGACGGGGCGGGCTCAGGTCCCCTCAGGAAAGGGCAGGCCCCTGGGGTGCCCACCAAGGTGGCACAGGCCCGACGCCCCTCTGGGGCCGGGGTAAACCAGGCCACTCTTCCTCTCCCCACACGACCTGGGTTCCTTGCAGACCCCAAGCACAGCCTGGCGCAGCCAGACCCTGAGACCTTGGGGTGCAACTGCCACTGTCCCACTTCACCAGCAAACAGGCCGAGGCCAGAGCAGCTGAGCTTGCGAGGTCCAACAGAGCCGGCCGCCCGGCTCCTCTCCAGTAGCTGCCTGGGAACAGGAGGGACAGCAGGCCTCCAGCCAGCCCGGACGGCTCACCTCTCCGCGCTGAGCCCTGATAGGCGTTCCGAGTGCAGGGCGGCCAGTGACGAGTGCGAGAGCTCCGGCGGGTAGCGGACGCCGGAGAGGTGGAGGTGCATAGCCGAGGGGTGCAGCGGAGGCAGGGAGCCCGGGGTGGGGATGGGGTAGAACGGAGACCTCAGGGCGGACAGACAGTAGGAGTCATCCATCCTGTACGAGAAGACGGGACTGGTGGGTGCCAAAGCCACACAGGCAGAAAGTGTGAGGTCGCCTAGCATGTGCATGTCCTGGTTCAACCCCAGCCCGGCCAGCAATGTGACGTCCACCTGCCCAAGCCCCCTCAGTGTGGCAGAGTCCAGGTGAACAGTACAGGGCTCCGAGGCCCCGCCCACCGCCCCTCCTGGGGCTGACCAGCAGGCCCATCGGGAGGATTCAGGGAGTTCTACATGCCCCAGGACAGCATGTGACTTGTGGCAGCGCCTCGGCCACACTGCAAGGAGCCCTGAACTGGGGAGTGTGGCGGAAAGGAGCGAGGAGCCTTCTCGTGGCCCAGAGAGCTGGGGGAGCTGAGGAGGCCCAGGCCCCACTCTGTGTCTGAAGCAGGAGCAGAGGGGCTCACCTGAAGGCCGGGTGTGGGAAGGGGTGCGGGGCCAAGTAGCTGGGGTGGTAGTAGGCAGCGGCAGTGGCCGGGTCCAGGCCAAGCGGGGGCAGGGAGGACATGCGCAGGTCCTCGGCGGTGTGGTAGGGCCGGAAGCTTCTCAAGTAGTCCTCAGTCACCGTGCTGGGGGGCAGCACGTGGTGCACAGGCCGCTGGAGGCTGCAGGTCAGGACAGCGGGCGGGCGAGGGCACAGGTGAGCAGAAAGCCTGTTCCAGGCCAGGTAACGGGGCCACCTCCCACACTCCCCCCAAAACCACTGGGAGCCACCCTGCTGCCTCCCTGTAGCACAGACCCTGAGCTTGCTAATGAGCCAAGGCAGCTGCTGTCCCTGTGGCCTGCCTGCCCCCTGAAGTCCTCCCCAGTGGGTACAGCTGCTACCCATGGCCTGGAGGGACCCGAGGGCCCCAGCACCCATGACAGTTTCCGGGCAAGCAGATGGGGCACAGGCTGGGCCAGAGCCCGCCACGCAAGCCAGCCGCCTGGGCACTCAGTCTGCCTTGGGGACCCCGGGTCAGTGCCCTCCCCAGCCCCAGCTGGGCACTTACTTGAGGGGTGGAAAGCGGGAATCCTGCATGACGGAGCCGGGGGACAGGCCGAAGGGGTACGGGGTGCTGAGCAGATGGGAGGGGACAGCTGGGCCACCCGCCTTCTCCTGGGCGAGTGGTGGCTCCACGATGAGGCGCTCCCGACCGCTGCCACTGCCTCCCCGAGAGCCAGCGTCCTGCTGCGGACAAGCACAGGGGGGAAGCTATGCACACTCAGCCAGCTGCCACCTGAGGTGAGCCCGGGCCGAGTCTGGGCGAGGCCCACCTTTCCACAAAAGGCACTGTAGTGGAGCGGGGAGGGGCGGACGCAGCCTCCGACAGACACGCCTGGACTCCAGGCCGCTGGGCCTCCCTCCCGCCACTGCTGGGCCAGCAAGGTGCGCGTGCACCTGACAGGACATGCACAGCAGGCGTGCCCGGCCTCTCCCAAAGCCAGCCCCTCATGGCGCCCACATTCGGGGCCCAGAAGCGTCCTCTGACACCTGGGAAGGGAGCTGGCACCACAGCCAGTGGTCAGTGCACTCCAGGGCACACTCCCAGCTCTGCCGCCTGGAGCCACAAAACACCAAGTGCCAGGAAACAAGGGCCTGGGCCCCGACCGTGTCCCCAGAGCCGGCAGGAACGTGCTGCCGTGGGGGGCTCTGGGAGCACTGAGACCCCATCAGCTCGGCTGGCCCCTGTGGGCAGTGAGGGGCATCCCACGGTGCCCTCCTGGCTGCCTGTCCCCACGGCTGAGGCGCAGAGGCCATCACAGGCTCCCCTGATGGCCTCGCTCTTCAGAAGACAGCCAGCAGCAGCTAATTGAAGGAGACAGGCTGCTGACAGGACTCATAATGAGAAGCAGCATCTGCTCCTTTCCCTTGCGCTCAGCGGGGTCCTTGAAGGTTCATGACCTCTGACCTCCCCTTCCCTGGGGGGACGATCACATGGCGTCTCAAGGGAGGGATACACACATGCCCACCGAGCCCCGGCCTTGGGGGTCTTCCAGCTGCCCACGGTGACAGCAGGGCGGGCTCTAGCCTGGCCTTAGGAGACAGGGTCGTGTCCAGGACCAGAGCCCCCAGACAGGCCCATAACTGCCCATGCCTCAGTTTCCCCATCTGTCAACATGCCCTGGCTCATGGTGCACAGATGTGGACGGGAGGTAGGGGTCAGGCGTGAATTTGAACAGGGGTCCTGCACACAGGGGCCCCTGGGCTCACCCCATCACCTCTGCTCTGGCTCCGTCTACATCACCACTTCAGGGCCGTTCCCAGGTGGGGGCCGGCTGGATTCTCCTGCTCACCCCTCACCCTGCCCCGTGTAGGGCCAGTCTGGCATGGGTCTGCGTAAAGGGCAACGAAGGACACCGCTCACCTGGGCTGAGCTGAACCAGAGCCAGCTCGGCACCCTGTGCTCTCTGGGATGGCGACACAGGTCTGGGCCTAGGAAGGCCGTCCCATGGGCAGTGGGGCCTCAGCTGTCCCCACCAGCGCCCCTCCCATGGACAAAGGCCTTCTCAAAGGCAGCTGGGCCACATGGCCCCTTCCTGGCCAGGCGGAGGACACCCAGCAGGGAGGCGGGGACACCGTGACCGGCAGGGCAGTGGGCTCCACTGGGCTGGACCCCGGCCAAGCTGTGCCAGGCACCTGGGAACTAGGTCAGCAGGGAAGGTGCAGGGTGTGGGGGCCCGGGCAGAGCCCCGAGGGGCCAAGCGCAGGAGGCCACAGTGCCCAAGGGACCCCACGTGGGGCAGCCGGGTCTCAGCCGCCCCGGCAGACAGGCGCGTCACGGCGCATCTGCGTGCCGCTTGTTATTTCTGAGCAGCGGCTGCAGGAGCAGCTGCAGCGATGAAAGGAGGGAGGAGGAGGGGCAGGCGGAGGAAAATCCGTCATCCTCCGGTGATTAGAGAGAGGTCTGCAGTCAGACAGCGGGACATGCCCTGTTAGCTCCCAAATAGACGATTTTTCATCTCATCTCCCTCCCTGCTCCTGCTGCTGGGAGCCACTGTGACCCCAGAAGGAGCCCAGAGCCACTGCCCCCGACTCCCTGCGCGAGTCTGCAGCCCCGGGAGAGCCGGTGACTCAGCTACACCGAGGGCGGGCTCCTCTACGGCAAGGATTAATTCTCTGCGGAGCCTCCTGCAGCGCTGACGAGGCCCACATCCGCTTGTCCCCGCCGCTGCTCATTACCCGCTGCTCGGGCCCCTTCAGCGCCCTTTCAGCGTCACTCCACGTTGCTGTGGCAGTAAGGACCCTCGGAGATGAGTGACAGGCTCAGGAGGACGCACAGGGCGCCTAGCAAGGCAGGGACAGGAAGTGATCGTGGGGGACGACGTCTGGTGACAGCGCCCTTGAGCACGGTCCTAGGACTGCCCGCCACAGCCTGTTGTGTCCTTACGGATGTGGCGCCAGGCCGGCCTGTCCTCCCTGTCCACAGCACACACAGGCTGGTGGGCAAGGTGAGCAGCTAGGCAGGCGAGTCTCCTCTGCCACAGGAGATGGGGCAGTGCAGGACGCCAGGACCCAGGTGGGTCCAGGAACCCAGGGCTCACAGCCCGCACCTCAGGGCCCCTCACGCTGCATGAGCCCCGCCTGAGGTTGCCCACCCCTCCCCACTGGACCTGCCGCCCCTCGCTCTTCATGAGTTAATTAGTATCTGCAGGCAGTGGCATCCCTCGAGGACTCAGCAGAAGCTCCCGGGGGAACCCAGGCTGACAGTGGCTCTTAACAAGGACAGCAGGGAGGATCCCGGACCTGGGGAAGGGCCTCCAGCGCAAGACAGAGCCCAGCGGCCCACGCTCTTCCCGCCTTCATCCAGCAAGAGGTGAGGGGACGCTGCACACCTGCACACCACCCGTGAGAGGAACGTGCACAGACCGCTGCATCTGCAGGTCACACTGTGGCCTGGGGCGACGCCCTTGCTGACAAGCTCTAGGGTGACGAAGGGAACACAGCACTAGGGGCCCGACCACACAGCCCAGAGCCCTCGCACGGAGAGAGCACAATACAGACACTCCGAGGGACCACAGGAGAACACAGGGAGATGCGTGTTGGGGACCAGCCCTGGCCACGTCCATCTTGGGTGCTGGCCTCTACTGCTAGAGGATTCTGTCCCTTCGGCCACCCAGCCTGCAGGTGCCCTGAGCCCCTCTGCAGCTCGGACCGGGCTGGGAGCTCCAGGGCCAACAGAAGCCGAGTGTCCCGCTCTCTCAGGGATGCCGCCTGCCACGACTGCCCCTCAGACCACTCACCTGGCGGCTCTCACTCCTCCAGACGCCATTGACGGTTTTGGTGGGGGCGATGGTCACCACGGGGGGTGTGCTGGGGACGCTGTGGCCCCCGGGGGGGACGATGATGGGGCCCATGGGCACGCGCTTGGGCGTGCTGGCGGGGGAGCTGTGGTTGGTGGCCGGGGAGGACACGGGAGACGACTCACTGCTCAGCGAGGACCCTGCAGGAGAGAACACAGGAGCCTGAGTGCGAGGCGGACCCTAGCCTCCGCTGCCCACGGCCTCCAGCGTCAGCCAATGCACCTGCGGGCAGGCGGGAGCAGAGCCGAGCTCCAGGCCCCATCTGCCTGTGCAGCTGGACGTGGTGCTGGCCCTCGTCCCTCGGCCCCCAGGCCCAGCCGCCAGGGCACCAAGCACAAGATGCTGCTCCCTGTGCGGCCCACTCTAGCCAGAGGAGAGGAAGGCCCCACAGCACACGTGCACCCGGGATCACCATCCAGGTCACCAGCTGCCCAGTGGCCAGGCCCCAGGAGGGTGGGTGGCTCTGTGCACAGGCTGGGCCAGGCTGGGGACGAGAACTTGAGGCTCACAGGGAGGACCTGTGTGCCCCGTACCACACGGGGTTGGGGCTTCAGGGCCGCAGTGCCACCAGACGGGATAGCGGGCAGGAGGCCAAAGTCCACCCGTCTAGGGAGCCCCTGCAGGAGGCATTCAAACCACCAGACATCCACTTCCAGCTGCAGGGACCAGAGCAGCACTCCCTCATCTCCAAGCTCTGGAACTGGCGTTCACTGTGCTGTCAACACCGGCTCTATTTCCAGAATGTTCCCTCTGCTCCAGAAAGAAGCCTGCATCCCTCAGCAGCAGGCAGCTGGGTTCTTGGGGAGCAGGGTCCAGCCAACAGACCAGAGCAGGGGGTGGCTTCAAACTGTGACCAGGAGGCAGGCCCGGGACATCCCAGGTTGGCAAAAGGCGTCCCTGGGGTAGGTGGCTGGGCCTTCACGGCAGCCTTCCGGGGCGGGTCCCGACACCCCAGCCTCTTTAATGGCGCCCTGCCCCATAGGCTACCATGGCGGGCAGCCCCACAGGGAGATCTGCCCCAGTGTGCACGTCCAGGAACTTTACACAGCGCCCCACCCTGTTCAAGGCCCCACCCAGCGGGGCTTGAAAACTATAGCACCTGAGGCAGCAGCCACAATCCCCCCCAGATGCCACACCCTAACAACCCTGTAGCCCCAAGGATGGGCGGACTCAGAACCTAGGAGGGGAGGGCAGTGTCCAGGAGATCAAGGAAGCAGCCGGAGGGCTCAGCAGCCAGGCCCCGACCACAGAAGGGACCACAGGAGCCCTGATCCACCCTGCTCCCCGGGAGGTGCCCCTCCAAGCCGCCCTCCTGGCAGGCCAGCCATGCTGGCCCCAGGTTCGCACACACCAAGACACAGGCTGGCGCGCCTCGCAGCAGTGCAGAGAAGGCCCCACAGCCATCAGCTGCTGAAAGGGGCCAGGACGGCGCTCCCTGTCACAGTCATACGAAGCCACGGAAGCCACGGAGGGCCAGGGACAAACACGTGCAGTGGGACACTGACCTCTGGTCAGACAGACCGGACTGCTGGGCTGGTTTAAATCCAGAGCCACACAGCGCTGGGGGCAGAGCAGGGGCGGGGTGCCCAGGAGGATGGCCTCAGGCCAGCTCTGATGAAAAGATCTCTTTAGGATTTTTGGAAAACAACAAGGAAAAAAAGGTTTCTCTTAAAAACAAAACAAAACAGAACAAGAAAGGTGGCTGTCTCCTGGGGTCTCCCTGCCCCATCTGGTTCACACTGGGCATGCAGGAGAGGGACCAGAAGCACACGACCCACGCCCAGCTGTGCTGTCCCGCCTGTGGCTGGGCCCTCCCTGAAGAGCACTCTGCTTGCCCGTGCCCAGGGGGGCTGGGGGCCCCACCTCAGTGCTGGGAGCTGGGGCAGGGGGATAGGCATCTGTGGCCTAGAGCTGGGGGAGGTAAAACGCAGGCTGGCACCCTGCAGTCGAAGAAGGCTGCACAGGCTCAGGGCCTCGAGGTTCCCTCTGTTCCCAGCTTTGTGCCCTGCCTGAGGAGCGGGGAGGCTTCAGCCCAAGGAACGGTGGACAGCTCATCAGGGCAGCGTCTGTGCTGGGGCCTAAGGAGGGGAGGCCAGCGACAATTAGTGGCCCGATCCCTGGGCGGGGGCTCCTCATTGAGGCGAGGCGAGCAGTGGTGATCGATACCCCGACAACGCGCTGCCAATTAGCGAGGCTGGCGCCCAGAGCGAGACCTCCTCCTCGCTGCTCGGCTGGAGCAGGAAGGTTCGCGATCCTTGTAATTAACTGGCGGTATTCTGCCAGGAGTAGTCAATGAGTCGGAGTGGATTGCAGATGACAAGAAGCAGAGTGTGTCCCTGTCACCTCTGCTGTCTAACCTCGCAGATTAGCGCTGAGCCTGCCCGCACCCGTGATTAACAGCTGAGGCCCCGAAGTCAGCCTGGGGAGCAGAGTGGAGACAGGAACACAGTGGCACGGTTACAGCAGCACTGCCAGCTCTCCCAGGCCAACTGCTGAGCACCAACTGCGTACACTATGCAGGCGTCACACCGGTCAGCCCCACAGCCCTGGTGGGCCTGGCAGATGGGGCAGGTGGGGGGACCTGGACCCCACGGCTGGGGCTCAGGCAGTGAGAGAGAATCCAGACTCTGATGAGCTTCCCCAAAGGATCCTGGCACAAGTATCTCAAGACGCTGGCTCCCGTGGGCACGGTGCCAAGGGCAGTGGGTGACCCAGCAAGAGAGGGTCCTGCCCCGCCAGGTGCTGGCACCGGGGATCCCTGCACACCTGCTCCCCCAGAGCAGGCCTGTCAGGTCTCTTCTGTCCCCAGGCCAACCATCTTGCTTCTCTCCAGCGCCGGGGATGGAGCGCACACACACTCATGCACGCACACCACAGAGCTGCACCCAAAGCCCGCAGGTCCTCCACCAGGGGTGTCCTGGGCCCCGATTCCGCCTCAGGGTCCTAGGCCGAGTTCTCCCCGGGGCTGGTGTGGCTGCTCCTGCTGGGTGGGAGAGGGGCCCCATGGAGCTGCAGGATGCCATCGGCAAGCGAGTGAGCAGTCCAGCAGGACAGAAGCAGGGCACCCAGGCTGGCCAGCTCCTTCCCTGCAAGGTGCCCGATGGTGCGTGAGAGCAGCCTGAGGACACTCCAGCCAGCCCAGCACATGGCACTGGGGCTGAGGGCCCAGCCAGCACCCGGTGATGAAGACAGGAGTAAGCCCTCAGGCCAGGGCGTGGCAGGGACAGAGGTGCAACGCAGCACCGAGGTCACTGTCTGCCACAACCTTCAGGTTTGAGGAGCACCAGCCAAACAGATCCTGGGGGCCACCATATGCCACTCTGGGTGGGGCTGGCCCCAGCACCCGGCCACCGGACCAGGCTGCTCTGGCGTGGGAGCAGCAGGCCCACTGAGGCGAGGACCTGGAGTCCTGCGCCCACACAGCCGAGGCCTGGTGTCCTCTGGACTCACTTCCAGGGCTGATCGGCGGCTGAAGACTGAGAGGCCCAACACCCGCTGCAGACTACAGGACGGGCCACGGGGAGCCAGCGCCAGTCCCCAAGGGGCGGGGTGACACGACGTGTTAGGGCTGCGTGGGACGAGGAGGGACGAATGGACGATGGCAGTGATGCGGGGGAGGCAGCATCCCCGCCGGGCACCTGTGCCTGCCACCCCGGGCCTGGGCACCTTGCTGGGTCCACACTGCCTTCCTGGGTGTCCCCACCTTGCCAGCTCGGGCCCCTGGGGACAGAAACACCGAGGATGCCCACCATGCTCACACCTGTGCAGCAAGACAGATGGGACTCCAGACACTGCCGGGAGACGCCTGCGCCCCACCAGCCGCATGGTGACACACACAGGGCTGCCATGCCAGGCGGGGGATGCCCCCGTGTTTGTTTTGCTGTTTTCTTTGAAAGAGGCGATTTCCGAGGTGGGTGGTGGCAGAGCGGCCCTGCCAGGCCCGCCCTCCCAGTGACACCTCGCCCGAGCGCGCGGGGATGCGCCCGGCCTCTGCTTGCGCCAGGGTCTCAGTTTCAAGCACCAGGGACCTGGCGGTAACCGGACCCACTGGCCTCTCACCTGCAAAGCCTGCGACAAGACGGGGCAGGCGGCCAGCAGGAGCAGCAGCAGGGAGCAGGCGGCAACTGCAGCACAGTGCCCACCGCCAGCCCCGCCCCTCTGGCGCTATCAAGGCCATAAATGCTGTGACCCCTGCTCCGCAGGCGACAACAGTGCCAGTGACCGGGGCAGCCACCCACCCAAGGGGGCGCGGCACCCTGCTTCCATGGCAGTGCCCCCAGCCCCGTGGTGGGCACGCGGGAGCCCATGCCTGTGGACGGCCACGCCCTGCCAGGTGCCCCAGGCTCACGGCCCCTGATCGGCTTCCCCAGCACCGAGGGGTGCACAGCCTCAGGTGCTGCGTGGGCTGAGGATGCTGCCGGCTCCAGGCTGCAGCTCCGCCCTCAGCAGACAGGCGCCAAGTCCCTGAGGGAGACAGCAGATTGCCACACAGCTTGAGCCTCGCCTGGCACAGCCCCGGCGCCTTCACGCACAGACGGGGGCGACTGGGACTCGGGGGGCCCCGGCTGGGACCGGCTCCCCAGTCTGCTGGGGGGAGACCCGGTGGCTGAGCTGGTGGCCCGAGGTGTGGGGTTCCCAGAGCCCCGCGGGGCACCCGAGCCCGCTTTCGGTCATTGACGTGGAGACCGACACCAATACCGCAGGCCAGGAGGCTGGGGGCAAAGCCGGGTGCGGATGGCACAGGACTCCTGCCACCCGGGACCCCTGGGCTGGCTCAGACACTGGGGACAGCACGTCTAGGCCCTGGGACACCGCACAGCAGGGCCGGACAGCCCAGGGGACACCCTCCAGTGGCCACAGTGACAGCAGGGTCCCCACAGGCAGCAGCCTGGTGACGCCATAGCTCCTGTGGGCCCCGACCTGTCCCCGAGGACGGCATCGGGGCCCAGCCTGGGACCAACTGGGTCAGCCCAGACCCCCACAGCTCAGGGCTCCTTCCAGAAGGGTCAGTGCGGGCTTGAGCACCCTGCACTGCCCAGGAAATGACGACCATGGACAGCGGGGACAGGAAATGCAGGCAAGCATGCGGCAGTGACCTGGAGAGAACTTCGGGGGTGTGAGAGCCCGGCCAGCGCCCTCCTGCCTGTCCTAGCGACCCTGAGTCAGGTGGGGACCACAGGCAGACAAGCTGCCCGCCACATGGCACGCCAGGCGCCTGGGAGCGGAGTCACCGCCCTGCCCAGCCCGGGTGGCGGGGCATCCATCCCGGAGCCAGAGTGGGAGCTGGGCACCCCCAGGGGCTGGCAGGCCCTCTCCTCCCTGCCCTTCCTCTGGGGCAGAGCGGGCGACATGCCATGGATGCTTTGTCTGAATTCAATTTTTAATCTGCACCCTCAGGACACGATAAGAAGCGACGTCAGCCAAAGAAGCAGAGGCAACTGGGTCAGAGGGATAAAAACAAGACACCACTTCAGACGCAGGGGTACGGGTGGGAGGGTTGAGTGGGGGAGGGGCATGGCACACGGCATGTGCCAGGCCGAGGCTGGCAGAGGGGACCCAGGGAGCCACGAGGGTGCTGGACTCTGCTGTGCCATCAGGGTCACCAAGGCTACAGGCGGTCAGGACAGTCAGCCGTCAGCCCAAGGCGAGAGCCAGGAATGTGCACTGCACCAGCCCCAGGTGAAGATGGTGGGGACAGCTGTACCCAGAACCTGAGCTGGGCGGGACAATGGGCACGCTTGGTTTACACAGGGTTCACAGCTGTGCCACCCTGGGTACAGGAAGAATACTCAAATGTGTGCTTCCAGGGCGAGGAAAATGGTGTGTGAACTTTACAAAGACTTAAAAAGTCCAGCCAGATGGGGTTGGAAGGCTGAGGCAGGAAGATGGCAAGTTGAAGGTCAGCTGATCAACTTAGATCCTCACAGGCAGGGGCTGGGGCGCAGCTCAGCACTCCCTGGGTTCACACTGCGGCAACATCGAGGCCACGTCTGGGACCCAGCGGACCCAGCAGACCCAGCAGGCCTGTGCAGACCTGTCCCTCCCGCGGCCCCACCCCTGTGGCCGGCGCCTGTGGCCATCTGTGGCCAGGTGCAGACAGGGCACCTCCTCCTGGGAGGCGGCTGCTGCTGGGCTGCCTACGGAGGGGCTGGCAGGCAGGGACCAGGCCCGCCAGCCTTCCCAGGCCACCGTGGCCCTAAAGCCTGGGCGGCAGGAAGGAGAAACCTAAAGGAACAGCCCTGCTCAGGGCCCCGTCCGCTTCACTGGGCTGAGGGGACAGCGCCCCTGTGTCCCTGGCCTCAGAACAGGGCAGATGGCAGGCAGAGGTTGCCAGGGTCCCCACAGCCTCGGTCTCCTGCCTCTGAGCAGAGCACCCGGGGCACTGGGGGCCCTGTCAGAACCCACAGGGGCCACTAGGTCCAACCACAGACCCATCACCCACCGACCCAATCACCCAACAAGCACACAGCCACAACAGCCATCGGAACCCCAGGAAAGGCTCCAGGGCTGGGACAGGGAGGAGCCTGGGAAGCTGCACCCCCAAACAGGAGAATGAGGCTCAGAGACAGCCACAGTGACACAGCATGCACCAGCGACGCCAGGAGCCCGGCACCGGACCCCAGGGCCCCCAATTCACACCACGAGAGAAAGCCATGGGGAACCAGGCAGTGGCAGGGTTGCGCTCTGCCCCATCTGGGGGCAGTGACACGCCTGGAGCCAGGCCACCAGTTCCCGGGCAAGGACCACTCCATGTCAGACGGGGCTCCCAGGAGAGGGAGCGGAGCCCAGCGGGCTCCTCAGGCACCCCAAGGCACCCTCCAGAGTGGTGCAGAGCAGACAGAGCCAGAGCAAAGCGAGGCTGGGCTCGGGACGCGAGCGCGTGTTTCCGTGTGCATGTGCGTGCGTGGCGGTGCAGGCAGCATTTGGGTCTGCAGACAGCTGTTTCCCGCCACACACTGGGGGCCCCTGGGTGGCCGGGACCCCCACACGCAGCCGCAGTGGCGCCTCTTACCTCTGGGCTCCTCCGCCTGTTTGGCGAGCTTGCGCAGCGCGGCGGCAAAGCTGGAGGATGGCGCGGCCTGGGCCGACAGCGTGCTGCTGGTGGCCGGGCTGCCACTGGGCACCAGGGCGCCATTGAGTGGCGAGGGGGTGAGGGGGTTGACGGTGGCGGTGGTCCTGGTCGCGGTGGAAAGCATCCCTAGCGAAGGGGACTTGGGCTCATGGCTCATGCCTGAAACAGGAAGAGAAGAACCAGGGTCACCCAGAGAGCGGAGGGTGCAGGGCGCCGCGACAGCATGCAGGAGGCAGCGGGTGGGAGCCACAGAGCCAGTGCAGGGCCCCACGGCTCTGCACCGGTGGCACAAACCGGGACCTCAAAGTGTCACCTAAAGGGCCCCAGATCAAGGGCCCGGGACACAGAACCAGCATTTTTGGGACGGAACACTCCAGGAAAGCACAGGCCCACACTGGTGGCGCAGCCAGGAGGACCACAGTACGGCCCAACAGCTGCACACCCACCAGAGTGGGGTGGTCACTTGTCCCAACCCGGGCAGAGAAAGAACGGCAAACCCAATCCGTGTGGCTGGAGTGCAGTCACAGCCAGGGCTCCACACGCCAGCCTTCCCAGGCCCTCATCCCATGAGGCCCGTACCCTCCTCCCGGCGGGTACCCACACCTCCATGGGTGCATGCCAGGGAGATGGACCACAGCAGCAACAGCACGGCCGCACGAAGGGAGCAGCACATTCGCTCCTCAAGCCAGCTGGAAGCCCAGGTGGGCACAGGTGGGCAGAAAATGGGCCTCCCCAGGTGGCCACTTATTCCCCAGAGCCATCCTGGCCTCTGCTGGAGCCCGCACTGAGTCAGGGCCCCAACCCGGTCCCCGAAGGCGGACAGGCAGGGCTCCCCCAGATGGGTGACCAGACGGTACAGGCTGCCCAGAGACGTCCTGGGCCCACCTGCTGACCCCAGAGGCCATGGCCCCAAATCTGACTCCAGGGAGCCGGGTGGAGGCAGCAGCCTGGCCCACTCGGGGCACCCATGGCACGGCGCTGGCCTCCAGTGGCAGGCCACATGCACTCAGCTCAAGGCCCAGGGAGCCCCGAGGCCACCCCACAGGGCAGAAGGGCGGCAGGGCCACCTCGCCTGTGCCCATGGGCGCTGGCACCCAGCTCACCCTGTACGCCTCTCCCTGGTGCCCACGTGGACAGGCAGAGGGAGCCCCCAGGGCAGGAGGACAGGCCCCAAGCTAGCTGTGCGATTCTGCCTCCGTGTCTGTCCTTCCGAGACACACCCTAGCCTTCGCACAAACCTGGCCCATGGTCTCCCCTCCTGTCCCTCGGATGCCAGCAGCAGCCCCCACACCCCACTCCTGGGTGGACATAAAGGCTGGAGTCCAGGACAGGCCCAGGGCAGGGCTTGTGGTCTGACACTGTCCTGGGTCCCCTCCCCGCTGCCACACAGGCACTGCTGTGAGACAGCACTCGGGTGCTCTGGTCCTCTGCACCCATGGGTGACCCCAAAGCTTGGAAGGAGATGTGAAGTCCCTGCCCAGTGCCCTTCATAAGAGGCCACAGCTCTGCATGGGCATTGTGGACAGGAGCTCAGGTCCCAGGACAGGGCTGCTGGGGGGGGGGGCAGCAGGGGAGGCCCCGGCTACACCCTGTGCTCAAGGTCCTGAGGCAGCACTGCCCTCTGCACCCTCCCCAGGCCACAGCCACCCCAAGGTCATTGCCAAATTCCTGGGAACATCCGGACAAAGCCCAGCGTCCCTCCCCCAGTCCCTGGGGTCCCTGGGCCACATCCCCAGTAGTGTCAGTGCTCCGGGCCGGGAAGCTGCTCTGCTGATGTCAGGTCAATGAAAATAGAATGGAGCAGCAGCTTCATTAAGGGGAAGCTAAAATTAGCATTTCTCCTGCGCTGTGCAGGGCGGCCGGGATGGCAGCCCAGGGACAGCTCCCACAAGGACAGATGGCCAACCTCAGGGGACCTGGGGACTCCAGGGAAGAGTCCCCTGCTCTCCAGGGCAGACAGGAGCCACCCTGCTCCCAGGCAGCCTCTTGCTGGGGCCAGGGCAGGTGCCCCAGGGCTGACAGAGGCCCGCGGCAGGGCGCTGCTCCCCACCCTCATTAGAGAGGTATTTGTTAACCTGTGCTCCCAGGGCCCAGGCCTGGAGAGCGGGACACCCTGGCCCCAGGGCCACCCCCTCTTCTCCTGGCCTTCTGAGCAGAACGCTAAGGGGGAGAGGAGCCACACAGAGTGAGCCAGGCAGGCGGGTGGGCGGGAGTTATTGTCACAAGACCACCTTGTGGTCCTGCAGAAGAGGCCTGGCAAGGCTCACCTGCTGTCCTAATGCTGGAAACAGCAGGACTGGGGGTCTGTGGAGCACGGCCCTGGCCCCCCAGCACGCCTTATTAATCAGCAGCCCAAGCCCCCAGCCTCCCACAGATCCCGTAATTACTGCTTCCTTTCATGCCCGCTCCTCACGGCCTGCGCCTGCCCGCTCTGTAATTACGAGCTAATGGCTGAGATGAATCTGCTGCCATCCCAGATCAAGCACCAGCCCGCCCCTCCCCTGGCACCCCCATAATTACACCCCTCGAGGCAGGCCCAGCGAGCAGGCCGCAGGCACAATCTGGACTCGGATTCTCTAGTCAGCCTTCTTGGTCATTTTTCATGACTGCAGAAATGTCTGTGAACAAAATAAAGGGTGCCCCCTTCCTCAGCCCCACATCCCGATCCCTGACCCCCCAAGAAGCGAGGCTCCTACAGCCCTAATAAGGCTGGGGTCACCCTGGCTGCAGGACTGGCAAGCTGCAGCAGCGTGGGGACCATGTGATGCCCAGAGCCTCGCAGCTTCATAATAAATTCATTACAATGTTTGTCTGCGGACTGTTCTGAGCTCCCTCTTGTGAAGCTGGCTCCTGGGGTGGGGAAGAGGAGGGGGAGAGAGGTCCAGGGACCCCCAGGCTGCTGGCGCGCCCTGACCCACTCTGAGGTCAGTGCCAGAGGCCCTGAGTAGCAGAAACCGTCAGCACGAGGGCAGGCTGAGCAGGTGGCCCGGGCCCGACCAGAACAACGGGGCTGAGACCCGTAAGCAGGCGGGAGCAGCCCAGCACCCCCAGGGGACCCCCCCCGAACCAAATAAGTCACAAGATGGCCGGGCCTCCGGGACAGGTGGGAGGAAGGCCCCCTGCAGACACCGTGAACCCCACACCCAGCGGGCAGCCTCAGCCATAGGCCTGTGGTGACTGGGGAGGGGCCTGGTGTGTCCCCAGCCAACCCCGGGGTACACAGTGTCAGCAAAGGGCCCTTTGTGAGACCCGCGGGGACCCAGAGAAGGCCCAGGTGACCCACTAGGCCTGGCCATGGGGACCATGGTGGCGGGGTCAGCAGGAAGGAGAGGGGTGTGGAGTGGGTCCCAGGTTCCTGGGTGGAGGCCAGGGGCGTAGCCAGGTGACAGATGGCAAGGACATTTGACGCAATTATTCTAAACAGGCCTGGGGACAGATGCAGGGCTGAGCCGGAGGGAGGGGCAGGCGGGGAACAAGACAGACCCTGGCCAGAGCGGGCGCAGCCACAGAGCCCTGCCGGGAGCCAGATCACTCCTGTCCCCCTCCCAGGAGCAAGGGAAGGTGAGGCAGCAGCCAGTCGGTCACACTGCGAGGCCTGTCACCTGCGCCGGTGGGTGAGGCTCTGGGACAAGGGCCTTGCTGGTCCCCGGGCCCTTACATTCTTCACCCGGAAGTAGGGTCTTGGCTCCCACCACCACCTTGCAGACCCTTGCCCTGGCCTCTAGGAGGGTAAACTGAGGCAGAAAGTTTTTTGCACCCCAGCGCAGAGCTGAACGGACCTCCAGTCGCCCTCATCCCCGGGAGAAGCGTGGAGGCTCCACCGAGGACACTCCTGCTGTGCCACTACTGCAGGCAGCTGTCAGGGCGTCCATGGTATGCCACGCCCATCTCAGGGGACATGGACGGAGACAGGAGCCGCCAGAGAGCGCGGTGACAAGGTCCACAGCAGCTCTCGGGGCAGCCAGCGGGAGCCCCGCTCGGACCCTGGCACAGGAGCTAACCGGGCCGCCCTGTGGTGAGGCTGCCGGCCCGGGGCAGAGGTGCCTTGAAGAGCCCAGAGGTCCCAAGGACGGACACCCAAGCTGGCCGTGCTGGCCTCGGACGGCTCCAAGTTCCCACGGCACTGGGCAGGAGGCAGCAGGGTCAAGGTCTGGGAGGGCCCTGCTCCTGGAGCACCTCAGTGGGAGGGGCCCCACAGAGCCCGGAGTTCTGATTCCCCCAAGGACCAGGAAGCCAAGGACAGCACTGCCGAGTCTGTGAAGTCTGTGCCTGGACCCCTCCCGGGGCTCCGGAGCACAGAAACCAAGATCACTCAGCAACGGCCACAGCTACTCAGGGGAACATGGACCCACGGGAGCCAGGCTAGACCTCGATGGGCAAGGAAGGGCGGCCGGGCACAACCTGTGCCACCCAGGGCTGCAGACACGGGGTGAGGCGGAGCTGGCTGTGGGCTCGCGCTGCTGGGGGTCTCCTGTGAGCCCACCAGGTCCCACCCAGCCCCAGCCTCCTCTCCTGGACCCCCACCTTCGCCCGGCCCAGAATTGTGCGGTGTATCTGACATGGGAGCCAACGGGCAACACTTAAACAGAGTCAGAGTCAAAATTAAGATTTTAGTGGGCTGGGGATTTAGCTCAGTGGTGTCACCGCCTGCCTTGAAAGCGCAAGGTCCCGAGTTCGATCCCCGGTACCAAAAAAAAAGATTTTAGTTTCTCTTGAGCAACTGGAAGCCAAAAAACCATTTGCCCCACAAGCAATAGTCATCCTCTGTCCGTCCCCACCCTTCTGCCCTGTCCTGGCCGCAGGCCCCCAGCCCTGATCTGCAGGCGGGCCTGGCCCCAGGACAGCACCCGCAGGGAGCCACTCAGTGACAAGGACACAACCCTGGGGCCACTGCTGCCCGCACTCCCCCACCCCAGGAAGAGGTCCCGGCCAGGGCTGCCCCAGGGCCAGGTGGTTCAAGCCAGGATTTGCCTGGCGTTATAGTTCCCTGCATTCACGAAAAGGTCGGCATTTAATGGCTCAGCGCGGCAGCCGGACTTCCCAGAGAATTCACCCTGAAGTTTACATCCTTCCCCGCAGGGGGCTGTGCATGGAGACTGCATCAACCAGGAGCCCAGGCCAGAGACCCCAGCAAAAAGACTCCATAGTCACGGCCTCCC